CATAAGTGACCATCGTTCCCTTCGGCCTGAAATACAAGACTTAAATCAGTGAATGTTGCTACATGGGTAATGGACCATACCTGGCAAACTTTCTAAACTAGAATATCCATGCATATTAAAGGTAATGCGCGAGTCTCCAACAAGCAGAAGCCTTTCTAAAACGCATAAATGGCCATTTGAACCTTTCACTCCCAAGATCGCAATATTAATTCTTCTAACTTTTTTCCTTGTATTTCTCAAGGTTGGGTTCTAAGAGTTTGGTGTTAGATCAGGCAATATTCCCCGTTTGATATGTTTCCTTATTCCTACCACCTCTCTACATAAAAACATACATATACTGTTAGGAAAAAAACTTATTGGTCATTGCTAGGATTTTAAGGTTACAGGAGCTTAGTCACGATTTTTGGAGTCGTTTTCTTCAAGTTGTTTAAATCACCTTCAACATGGAGTTCATGTAGACAGGACCGACTCAAAGTTTGCTCGCCGGCACTATCGGCCTTGGGGAGGTATTTGCAAAAATTGAAACAACTCACGTTAATGTTTACTTACGCCAAGTAACGAAATAGGCTCATGGAACTCTTCCCTCCAACGCAGTTGAGGGCAAGTTTGGGACGTTGAATATTCTGAGGGAAAATAAACAAAACCAACATCACTGGAGCGCTTTCCACAAAAAACCAAACCAAATTAATCACAACTACCAATCAGAACATATAACATAGGGATTATTATAGAAGCCGAGGGGAACTTGGAGTACAAACAAACAAACTGTGAAAATCGGACACTAGCATCCAAAATTGGACGCTACTGTTTAAAATTGGACAATAGCGTCGAAAATTGGACACTAGAGTCTAAAAGCAGACACTAGTGTCTAAAAACGGACCAAAGCGTCTAAAATCTGACAAAAGTCTCTTAATCGGACGTTAATGTCTAAAAAGAGACTAGTATCTAAATTTGGACAAAACTGAGAGTCTAAAATCGGACAATAGTGTCTAGAATCAGACACTAGAGTCTAAAAACGGACGAAAGTGTTTAAAATTGGACAAAAGTGTCTAACATTCGACACTAGTGTATAAAAACGGACAAAAGTGTCTAAAATCAGTCCGATTTTGCTTTTAATTTTATATCTGATTGGTTGAGGAAATGGCGCAAGATTGGAAGACCAATACCATTGAAAAGAGCTCTGTGAACTAATCTGGCGATTCAAGCTGTTAGCTCAGAAGTGTTAAAGTTAAGTACTCTTGTTAATAGAGAGCTGAAGCAGAGACGTTTTTGAGAAGCGGAAGGCAAGCGCAAGAAAAATAAAACTAACTCTGGCGAGCTCTGAAACTAATGTAGCGACCGTAAGATATTTCTTTTTGCATTTAAAACCAAACTACACTGACCAAAAAAGGTGTATTGAGCACCAGGAATAAGAACTTTAAACTTCCAGCTGCCATCCCCGACTAAAAGACGTTGATGCTTCAACTCCCTATTCTTACCACAGAGAAACAAACCTTAACGATTTCCTTCATTTCAGGGCTTTTCAAGTCCTCTTCAGTGATGACAAAATTAGCTCCAAGGTCTTTCAGATGATTTTTCAGCTCCTCCACATTGGGTCTGTAATGCAACAATCGGTGTTAAATCAAAGGCTCTATAAGCGAATTCGTGAACGAGGTAAACTTTACGAATATTGGCGAAAATATTTTAACTGTTACCTGTGAATATGCAATTTGTGACGATGAATTAATTTGGGTGAAATTCATATTCTGACTACTGCACCATTGAGAAGGCAAGGGGTTTTCATGAGATGTTCTTTGTATATGTCGGTGTTTGGCGAGAGATTTAGGTAATTATAGATTGGTCAGTCTTCGTCCCAGTTACCTGTTCGTTTTTGTTATTTTTGTTAGAATTAATTCCATGAAATTGTATTTGTAGATGTTTATAAAACGTGTTTATCTATTTAGTTGTACCGTTTTCTCTAGCCCTTGAGCTATTGTATTAGATGAATTTGGTTCCATATATTTTTTGGCCACTTCTAAAAGGTAGTTTTTTCAGGTTTTTTTCGTAACTAATGTAAGACTTCTTCTTGTCTCGGTACCAAAAGTTTATATTGAAAGGTGTAACATTGATATTACAATGCATTGTGCTATTATGAAGGTCCAACACAGGCTTCGTCCATCCCGCTTCCCGGGATGAAAATCAAGGAGATGACAACCAATCAAAGATGCTCTTGATTGTTAGATAAATTCTCCTTGTAAGCACCTTGGGAAATGTATAGAGAACAGTGTAGAGAATATGCATACTGATATTAAGCTGTAATGGGTGAAGAGATACTTCCCATTTACCTACTACGAATTATGTTGACAGTAATTAAGCTCCAGGCTGCTGCAATTTGGATGAGAGCCTGCCCCACACCACTGTTAGCACCATTTTGAATCACTGTATCACCTTGCAAACACAAAAACAGCACATGATTAGACTACTTCATGTAATGTTTAAGCAAATGACCACATCTGTTAATGATTTAGCAAAGTAACGACCCATGTGGGATGCTGGGAGAACACAAGAATGTTGTTCATTTTCTCAGGACAGAACACTCAACTTATACCAACAACTACTGGCACTCTAAAAATAACATCAGAGTTCTTAACCACTGAAACCAATGAACAAGAGAGAATGAACTTACTTCATCAATTGCTTCAAGTGTTATGACACAAAAGATGTTTTTGAGACATACAGCAAATAACTTCAATAATCAGCATCCACAAAAAAAAACCTTAACACATTTCATTCATGAACAACTTTTCATTTGCCCTTTATGATTTCTTGTGTTCCTCAAGAGTGTTGAAATATCCTCACCATTTTTTTTATTAGTGCTATAATATTTATATGGTCTTGAGGTTGACTTAAAATGTAGTCACTGTGATACATCATTTAATATTACCAGGTTGTAAATCTTCAAAGTCCTTCAATAACCTGAATGCAGTGCATGGGTTTACACTGACTGTGGCAGCAGCTTCCACAGGAAGCCCATTTGGAATTTTTAAAACTTGATCCTCTGACACCACTAAGTGCCTGCACCAAGAACCTTTTTTTTCAGAAAAGAAAATATGTGTAAATATTTTATCTTGCAGACACTTTAATGCTTTAGAGTCAGATGAGGAAAAATAAATGGTATTTAATAAGTTACAATTTTGAGCAAGAGCTTTATAGATACTCCTAAATTTAGACAGCATAATCACTATTATATTAGTATAAAGCTAAAGTACAAAAGGCAAAACCATGCCACATCCCAAAAGTATTTTTATACTTGTACTTTTTAATATCTTTATAAAGTGCAGTCCATGAACCAAATAAAGCCACAGCAGCTTTCTATTGCTCTGACAAGGCTCACTTCATCACTTGAATTTTTGTATAACAAGCCTGCTGTCTCTAGCATTGATGCCCTGAATCATTTTGGTGCTCTCAAAATACCATTTTTAAGACATATTTTCACCACTTTACCTAAACACTGATCTGATCTCAAGATGACTTGATCTCCTGTATTGAGGTTCTGTACATCCTTCCCAGTCTCTATGACTTCTCCCACTCCTTCATTTCCACCAACAGCTGGTAAGGATGGCTTCAGTGGATAACTACCTATAGATGAAATTAACCTATACTAACAGGTGTAATAGTGGCTCTGCATGAGAATTTCCTTAGCTGGAAACTGTTTGAAATGAGTACAGAGGGAACATGGAGTAAATTATATCTAGATAGAAATGAATATTTAAGATATTCATTATGGCAGGAGTTTGCAGTCTCAAACAGAACAGTTTCAAACAGAAACTTCAAAGCTTTAGAGCATTGAATTGTTTGCATGAGTCTCATATTCCATGCATGTCGAGACTTGAGAGCTCTGTTTAACCACAATCTTCTGTAAGTTATTTGAGGTTAATGTGTGTTGTGAATTTGATTTGTAACAGTTGTTAATTGAGCTGGGAGTACCACAGTATGCAGAGTAACCACAGAATACCTTGCCATCTCATTCACTAATGACAGTCCTAGCTATTAATACTAAGGCAATAAAAATTGACAATATTTATTTCAAACAAAATTCTAATAAGTAACAGGTTATTCTGGTGTTTTGATAAATAAACCATCATAAATGAACATGGAAAACCTTGAATCTGATTGATATCAGCTGGATTTATTGGAGCAGCTAACATCCTTACTGACACAGAATTGCAACCAAATTTGCCTGTTTCTGCATTCTCCAATCTGTTTGATTTAATTTAAAAATAAATATTAATATTTCCTTTCTCAATTGATAAAAATTGATGTGCAGAAATTGACTGAGTTGATAATAAATGTGCTGTCTACAACCGAAAGCATGACACCTGCATGAACATACCCCTGATAAAATTGAGGAATATTCAAGTTCATAATATTCTCCAATGTTCAAAACTTACATCCACAATCAAATCAAAAAGCGGGAAGCATCGTACACATATTAAAATTAAAGAAGAATTTTTAACAAGCCATAAAAAATCGAATTTTTATTTCTTCATAATCATCCTCACCTCTCACCTCAAAACTTTCTCTGGATCTCCGTGTTCAGAATAAACGACAGATTCAGATCTAGTACCGAATAACCGCCAAATATTTGAAAAAGAAACGTTTTTCCTTGCGAGCTCAGGATGCAAAACCTTTAACAATCTGGCCGCCATATTGGAATCATTCTAGATTCCAGATCCCACTCCTAACCCTGTTCTTTATGTTCTGAAATTTTTCAAATTTAAAAAGTGTCCCAACATTTATTCTGAGGTGTTTCCATTTTATTTGTACAGTTCACTGTCCATTTATTTTTCTTGATTAATTGATGAAATGGCTAAAAATGTGAGAAAAAGACTCGCAAAAAAGACCAAATTTCATACAGCTGCCTAAATTTCCATGACAACTCTCAAACAACTTTCCCAACATGGCTGCCATAATCGCGTATTCTGATTGGTCGACATAGAATTTTCGTCTGCAGTCAAAAGCCAAACACCATGTCTTGATAAACTTTCGCGTCGTTCCTCCTGTAATTCGCGGAAATCAAAGAGTTTATAGCTCATGGCCATTGCCAAAATGTAGGAAATTCGATAAAGTACTCTCATTTCAACTCTGTAAAATGGATTCTGGAGAGCATGTGCGATTTTAATCATGGCAGTGAAATGGCAAACGACTTTGTGGTTTTACGTAGAGATGCTGAAGAATAAATGTGAACTACGGCAAATTGTCTCTGAAACGTGTCCAGTTCACAGCAAAAAGTGTTCATTAAGCTACTAGGATGTCAACAGATTCATCTAGTGACAATATCGACGCACTTACAGAAAAGAACTTGGTAAGTTAATTCAAATTTTTGAGATGATACGAATTGAGTTACATTTATCAAATAATCAGTCAAATTGACATGTATCACATTTCCTCGTTTGTTACACTTCAAGTTTCATGTAAGACGTTGGGAATTTTACTCCATAAGACTTTGCAATCTCGTCGATAGTTAAATAGTTTTTGCTAAGTTTCCTTGGCTATGTTTATAGTAGGAGCACGACGTTAATATAACCATTGTACGAAGATAGAATTTTTCAATTTATCAGACATCGCAATCTCTCTGATAATTACTTTAATTTAGAGGAATTAAAGGTTTCTTTGGGAAAAGCCAAATTCGATATTTTGAAATTCAATGCCGTCAATGTTTTCCCTAATAACAAAAGCTCGTTTTGACTTTTAAAACTCAGCATAAAAGAGAACAGACCTCAGCATGTGGCTCTGGTTAAAAAAAAAAACAAAAAAAAAAACAGATAGTTTGTGGGTTTTTGAGAGCCTCGTAGAGATTCTTTTTACTTTATGCTAAATTTCAAAATATTGAATTTTTAGTTGGAATTGATTTTCTAACAACAGTTCACTGTTATTGATAGTATTTTGCATTCATATAGTAATCTCCTTCCTACTAAGTGTATCACTTAATTTGGCTGATATCACCATGGTTGATATTTGGGCCACTTGGCTTGTTCAAAACTATCAATCAATCAATCAATCAATCAACTTTACAGTCATTCTGTCAATCAATCAATTTTCTTTATAAAGTCATTAGTCCTAGCAAGGAAAAATGGGGAAAACATGCCTCTTTAATCTTTTGACTTCAGCACATTTCCTTATAAATCAGAGAGGAGAATTTGGTGTTACATCAAGTTGACACCTTCTAGCTGATAAGCTTGACTGTTCCCATAACCTGTTTGCAAGATAAATGTAACATCTTGGAAAAGCACTAAAAAGTATTTTGTGAAGGAGGCTCCATAGGGTTTTTGACCGTGCAAGATCTGGATGTAAGCAAAGCAGGAAGCAAAAGAAACATAGTGGCTCAATTTGGTCACATGATTGTTTCCTAAAAAAGTTGTATGAAAACGGTGTAACACAATGAATTTTTTGTTTAATGGACTGACTCGAGTCTCCAGCAACTGTATCCATTCCATAATATCCTTAGACCTTCTATGCCTGAAAAAGAGGTAGACAGAAAAGAAAACACTGGGGCAAAGATTGCAAAACAGATTTTAAAGTTTAATCTTGCTAAGATATCAATCTTGGCAAAGTGCTATTATATGCCTTAATATTTGTGAGTAGGAAAAAGAGACCTTCTTGTCTTTCCTTTGGTAAATTGTTTTTGAAAATTATCATTTTATAATAAGCCAAAGAATGAAGACATTTCACAAGGAAATTAAAGATATTGAGATATTTAGGCCAAAGTTAGAGGAATATATCTGCCTCTTGTTAGAGATGATGTTGACAACCAAAACAGAAGCTTAATATTATATTGTTACAAAACTGGTAAATCTCTTGAGGGAAAGTAAGTAAAAAAGTAAAGCCTTTATATGGGCCCAAGTGGCCCATGGGGCCGGTGCTTAACTCCAGTCTTTTTAGCATGAAGCAGCTAGGAGTATTACTATTCCCCCCTGGATGGGATGGTAGTCCATCAAAGGGTTACCCCCAGCACATTTGCTGGTACCCATTTGCACACCTGGGTGAAGAGAAGCACTGTGAGAGTAAAGTGTCTTGCCTAAGAACACAACACAATGACCACAGCCAGGGCTCAAAGCCAGACCACTCGATCCAGAGTTGAGCGCACTGACCATGAGGCCACCACGCCTCCACTCTTGAGGGAAAACTTTGAGATAAATTAATTAGGTTTCCTTTTGTAACTCCCACTCTTAAGGGTTGAGGTTTATTCGAAAGTACTCTAGGGTCAGCAACCTTGAGTACATCTGTAAATTAAATTTTGGGTTGATTGGTGAATGGAATATAATGTTACTTGTGTATTGATTTTTATCATGGAACCACCTTGATAGATACTGAAAACTTTTTTTCAGGAATCCTTGTTACAGGAAGATGAAGGATTTGTAGATTTCTTTAACAATTTCCTTGCATTACCAGTAAGTGTAGTAATTTTCTTGTGTGTAACTTGTTTCTATGATAGATTTATAAGGTCCTGTTCTGGCATTTGTGGTTCTTATATGTGTAAATGAAGGCTTCACAAGGAGTGATTTAACCCTTTGAACTTTAACATCAGTATGCATATTCTCCACACTTACCTCTGCACATTTTCTGTGGTACTATTAAGGGGAATTTGTCAAACAACAAGAGCTTCTTTAGTCAGGGACCACTTCCTTTATTCGCATGACCTTACTGTCTGATTCAGAGGTGATATTGTACAGAGAAATTATTTGGCAGTTACTCCTAGGGATTAAAGGGTTATGCAAGTGGTCTTTTTGTAACATTTTAAACATGACTTGTAGTGAGTAATAAAAGGTGAGGTATGGGCATGCTGTTGTATCAAATAAATAGAAAGTTTTAATCAAGAATAATCTAAATTCTAATAGAGAAGTGTGCTGGAAAACAATTTTAATATATACCACAAAATGATTTCTTTCTGATATTTAGTGATTGACAGAGTGTGTAATGTCCAGTCAATCAGCATAATCAAGTTTCCCAGGTATTTGTAATTTTCTAAATAACTTTTCTTTCAGTGCTTTGCAGAGCGTCTTCACTACAACACAGAACTTGGAGTTTTTGAGGAATTTATTGAAAAGTTAGCTGATGACGTGGGTAAAGGAGATGCCAAGGCTGCATCACAGCTGCGTCAATTCACACATTTTAAAGGAACCATCTACAATGTGGCTGCCAATCAATCACGCATAGGTTATTATGTGACTGTACTTGACAAGGTACAAGGCCTGGAATTTGTAAAGAAGCACAGACTGCATCTTTTCCTTAGAAGTGAGCTTTATGCTGAATACAAACTGACTAAACACCTTTCAACTGTCCAGGTACGGTATGCTCCCTGTACATGAAGAACTAGCTTGACTATTAGTAGTACTGCTTCAAAAGAACCTCGCGGGCTCCTCTCTAAATCCGTGAGAGGTCTCGCTCACATCAATATGCATATTCTCCATACTGTTCTTTATACATTTCCTAGGGTGCTAACAAGGAGAATTTGTTGAACAGTCAAGAGCTCCTTTAGTTGGTGATCATTTCCTTTATTCTCGTGACCTTAATGTGTGATTCAGGGGTGATATTATAAGGAGAAGTTAGATGCTCGTCATCCTTAGGGGCTAAAGGATTAACAGGGATTGCAAATGGAAAACTTGAAAGATTAAGGCTAAAATGTGGTAGCAACAGCTGTAGGTCATTAAACTTTTACGCAGTATAGGTTGAAACAAATTGTTATTTCCTCTTACAGGAGTCCTTCTTCCGCGACTTGCACCCAGAAAGTTCAGAGGATGATGACAGCGGAGTCGAAGAAGCCGCCGTTTTCCACCCTGCAGGTCGAAGACGGAGTGTTGTTAGTTTCAATTTAACTCCTTCCTTGGGCGAAGTGCCATCCCCCGATACGGATAGGGACGCTGAGAATGAAGGAATTATGTACCTTCCAACCAATGTGCGATCCATTGAAGAAACCTTCGATGCCTGGCATGAGTCATTTAAACGTACAGAGAGCCGTGCTAGTATGTTTAGCAGTGGGGATGGGAGCTATCGTAAGCTGAACACTCCACAGATTATGGAAGAAGACGAAGCTTCAGCGACACGATCAACGTCGAGCTGCTTCAGTACTAAGGAGAGTGAATCCTCTGCTTCAAACAACGCGAGGCCCGTCTCAGGATTGAGCATTGCTAGTGACAATACTGAAAAGGGGCTGAGTCCTGCGGAGCCCAGTTCTAGGATCAGTTCGGCGAGTACTGTATCTTTTTTCTTAGAAAATCAAAGTTCGTTTGTTTTAAACCAAGAAGAATCAAATGCTTGTGATCTGGATTCGGAGAGTAGGGGGGATCGTCTTGGCGCGGATGAAATGACGCGCAGTTTGTCTTCAGCGCTAAGTTTTATAACCGAGCATGGGAAAGTGATAGGGAACTCTTCTGCCCCAGGAAGTATCATTGGTGAAACAGATTTAGGGGAACAAGAAGACGCAACAAGGAAAGAAGATAACACAAGCGAAAAAGACTTTGTTGTCGAAGAAGCGGGTATTGCAGGTCGAGAGGGCATTTCTTCTAGAGAAGAGGCAGAAAGAGAAAGTGTACCACCCGGGGAGAAAGATTCTGTTGTAGAGTTCGAGCAATTTGCGGAGCACAAGAACTCATGTTTTAAGGAAGGTATAGAGGAGAATCTCGCTAAGACTGAGAGGGACGGGTATCCCTTAGAATGTGAGTCTCTAACTGGTAGCAGCACGGTTGAAAATACTTCACCTGACGGTACTCGGTCTGAAATGGGTATGGGAAACTCTGAGAGTGATGTTATTAAGGAGCCTCTGACACCAGATCTCGGGGCACAAAGAAAAAGTGGTAATGAGGACGCGAGGGAAAGTCTAGATGAAGAACAAGTGCCAAGTATTGATATAGAAGTTACGTGCAGTGATGAAGAGGAAACTTTGGATAAGGAAACTGCTTTGAATGACGACGCGGTTGATTTAAATTCTGTTGCTGACTCTAACAGTGGAGAGAACTGTGGATCGGTCGCAGCACGCATGGAATTATCTCTCAACACTGAAGATATTTTTATCATAAAAGAAAAGGCGTCTGTTTCGAATGCACCTGACTATACTGGGCAAGTAGACGACAATTTAGGTGGAAATGACGAAAAGCGAAATAGTTCAACAACACAGAGTGACGAGGGAAAACCAACTGTTTCAGACGAGGATTGTCTTCATTGTAAAAATGCAAAACGTAAGGATGTGTCTCCAACTTTAGGTATGGATGCTTCACTTGGAGAACGCAGCACTTCAAGTAAAGAGGAATTAAAGAAAGTGAACTTATCGAATGTTGGTTCTGATCCTGGAGAGATAGGGTCTGTTGACGAGTATAGTGGACATAGAAGCGCTCAGAGTGGAAGCATAGCTGAAGAAATATCGAACACAGGAATATCGGCGTTATCAGAAGTGGATGTGGACTCGGAGAATAACAATAAAGAAACTTCGTTTCAGGGTCGTGAGAATGATGATACAGAGATGGCGACTGGTGAAATCAAATCTAAGAAACAAGATCTCCAAGGAGAAGAACCCTCCCCGGGAAAAGATTCCGATGAGGATGACGATGACCGCGAAGATGACGATGAAGCAGGTTACACAACCGAGGCCAGTGCGACAACTCTTCAAGGAATTCGAGGCATCTTCGGCTCCAGACGACGTAGCAGTTTGGCGGCTACTTCGGTTGGTTTTGACGCGGGAGATGATTCAATGTTCAGTGACGATGGTTCTGAACTGGACGACAAACCGTATGATTTAGCTACCAAAGAAGGTTTCGACATGTTCAGAGAGTTCCTTTTGGAGACAAGTGGGGAGAAATTATTACAGTTTTGGTTGGAAGTTGAGTGTGGAAAGTACTTGGAAAATGAGGACGAAAGAAACAGGTATTTGTTTTAATGCCATTGCTGTATAATTTTTTTTTCTTCATGCGCGGGTATGATATTCAAAAGGCTTGCAAAAAAAACACAAAAACAAAAATGAAACAGACCGAAACGGAACAAGAACACATAGAATTTCCTGATGCCACATCTTCCCTCAAAATATTGTCATTTTAAAGTGAATAATCAAAATAGGTGGCTTCCCTGTCGAACAAAAAAATTGTCATTTATTGACCTATGAAACGATCTTTCTAAAATTAGTTTCAGACATAACACGGCTTGTGCAAGAAGTGTTGAAAGTAATCCGGGATGACTTTGGTTTTGCCCTACTTCTTGCGCAAGAACCACATGTTACGAGCCTAGAAGCTAATGAGGCTACGAGGATTTTCCTAAACCATGATCTTCCACAAAAACGCGATTGGCTATGGTTTTGCTCCTGATTGGTTAGCAAATAGTGCGAGATTTGTGAGCCAGTCACAGAGGGAAATGAATTAGGGCGCTGTTCGACCGAGTGTAGAAAAACCAAAATCAAATCAATCACAACCGTCAGGCAGGTGAAAGGAGTATATCACAAGGAACCAATTGCAACTTAACATAAAAACAAGCAGATTTCCTGAAGCGCAGAAAAACGGACATGCCTTAGTCGCGTTTGGCTTTAGTTTTGAAATTGTTTCGTAGCGAAAGTGCCGCGAGTTTTCTGTTTTTGTCACACGGCGAAGTAGGGCAAAACCAAAGTCATCCCGGATTACTTTTAACACTCACATGAAAATTGAATTACCCTAAAATCAATGCAATCCCTTTTTCCTTCGTACACGTAATTGGAAACCTCTCTAAATTGTTCTTTCCCTAGATTGGTGCAGTCTCTTCGTGATAGGTTTTGGAGAAGCGGAGGAATTTACGAGTTCTCTGCAGTTACAAAATCAAGATTAAATTTGGTGGATGCATCGACATTGACTTTCGAGAGGTTGTTCTCCATTCAGCCTGACGTACTCAGACCTCTGTTAAGTTACTGGTAAGTTCTTTCCTTTTTAAAAAACCGAGACGGGAACGACAACGAAGACATGGCAGAACAATAGCTCAGCACGTGCGTCTTAAAACGTTGTACAATTCGAAGACGTCATATGCAAAACAACACCGTGATCTCCTAAACTGACGCACTTGCAAACAGAAAAACCAACGGCTAATTATCAAAGTTTGCTTTTGAAACACTGCTCATATACGTTATGATGAAGTTGAGGTGTGGTGACGACAAACAAATCCAATGCTTTGCGAAATTCTTACTCAAGAATTGACATCAATTCAGTTTTCTAATCCACGTCACCCTTGGCCTTTCTCCCCCCCCCCCCCCCCCAACCGCGTTAGGTCCCTTCCATATTGGTGCCAGCATCTTGGACGCCGCTTCCTGCTTCCTGCTTCCTGCTCCCATATGGTACCCGAAAAAAATAGTTTTCAGTTCACAGCAATTCCTATCTCTCCAAAAAATAATGTACTGTGTAATGGAAAACGACTGCAAAACGAATTTTTGATACCATTCGCATACAAAGCATTCTGTTAAAACTTTAATTTACTGCTGTATTGTACTCACAGGTGTATACGTTTTACGATGCATCAGCAACGTGTTTCTCACTCTCATGACCACGATTACAACACAATGTCACAAGACAGGCTGAAATCATGTTTTAGACGTGAGATCACATCATCAAACCTTCCACAAGTCCCTGCGCACGTGGGTCTGTCCCAAGTTCTAGCGAACAACACCTTGGCCAGGCCCCAAAGTAGCTTTGTCAAGAACCGGCCGGTAACGCAACACCAGACATCCAGACCTCAAGTACGAGCCAAATCTGCCCATCCACGGCTTTTGCAAGCGAATAAGTATATGCATACTAATGCAAGTACGACGCAATTACAGGTGGGTGACAAAGAACAGGGAATTTTTACGTTGAGTTTTTGGACAGGGGAATTCTCCCGAAAAATCCTTTCAAATTCCTCCATTAACGGTGGCATAGGAAAAGTATTTATGGAATCGTGATCAAAGCTGGTTTTAATGTGGCTTACATCGCATTTGATTGAAAATGAACGAATAGCCAGCAGGTTTGATCCATGTTGTGAGATAGAACGTGGTTGTACTGTACCACTGATATCTTTTCACTTTACTCGTCGTGTCATTCCTAAGACCTCATTATTATCTCTCATTACTGTCTGCCATACAATTCTTATGATGATGGTTCGAAGAATTTGGAATTGGATCAACTAATAATCCCTAATTGATAGCTCTCTTTATTCTCGTCACTTTTCTGTTTGATATTGTTTAGATATTGTAAGTAGAAATTCTGTCTTGGTCACTCATGCGAGTTAAAGGGTTGAAGAGCTGTTGGCATGAGTGCCCTAAAACCAGAACTAAATCAGTAAGCATAAAGAGAAATAAGAACATAGTAGACTATTACCGGGAACCAATCAGAATTCAAAGCAGAAACCAGTAAACTGGCTAAGGCGCGGGAAAACGCGACTGACCAAGTCTCGATTGGGTTTAGTCTTGCGTATGATTGGTTGTGAGAGCTGCCTGACTTTTCTAGAACAATGAAATCCCAGATTATGTTAACAATATGTGAGAAAATTGTTCTTCGAAGTAATTTTTTGTTTTTTGTCAGAACATTATTGCTCCTGTGAGGACGGGATACGGTTTTGAGCAGCCCCCAGGACCGTCCTTTCCTGTTGAACCTGAACCAGACTATGCACCCTCCGTTAGGCTGTTTATCAACCCCGTGCCCTCCCCTGACAGTAAAATTCAGAGAATGATGAGGTAAGTAAAATATACCCTCGACACGTGACGCTTTTGACTGTGTTGACTCTGGCAGTAGACAGGACGCGTGTCTCATGTGAACTTAGTAATGAAGTAGCTCACCATGGAGTTGAAAACAGAACTTGCCAGACTTTGTTCAGGGCATTGAATTCCGTTCGCTCGCTTTTTTCGGAAATATCTCAATAGACTTAATATTTTCAATTGATTTCGTTGTCTCTTATTTGTATTTTTGCTTCTGTTCTCCTTATGAAGGACGCTCCACCGAACTTCTATTTATGTCGAGGGTTCTAAGCCGGCTCTTGCCAGAGAAACTGGATCCAAGACCGCCGCTATGATGGATTCGTTGATACAGGGACTGATTTACGAGCGGCAGACTGGGGACTACTTTAAATTGTTTTTGCAGAAGTCAGGAAACGAGGTAATTAGAAGACTAATTAGTTGGAGAGCTACCCTTGCACTGGCGCGATGAATGGCAAACCCACTCAAATCTTCACTGTAGGCGACCCAACTTCCAACTCCTTCTTTGGAGGCTTCTTAAGCTTGTCCTTGGTTAAGAACCAAACTCAAAGTCCGACTATGTGCTTATAATTATTATGTGAATGCTTACGTTCCATAATCGGTGAGTTTAATGTTCAATCGTTCTCTTGTAGACCTGGATGAACTGCTTGGCTTTTTGGAAATCTCTTCAAGAGTACAACGCGTACTTTTTTGCCGATTCTCTCAATCCTTCTCTATTGTCAAGGAAGGCACGGGTATGGACTAAGTAATTATTTCAAGAAGAACCTAATAACATAAATAAATCACGAATAATGTAAAACAATTGGTCTGAAAATGAAACAAAATAGACGTCTGGACAGGGCGTGAAATTAACTTTTTTTTCTGATAGCCACTTGGCTCCTAAATTCTTCAAAGTGGTAGCCAATTAAAAAAAGTTGGTCGCCATTTTCAAAGACAAACAAAATCTTTCTTTACGCTGTCAGCGTTCTAGATAGACCCTCCAAAATTAAGTTAGGGAAAAGATCAGTAACGTGCTACAAAGTGGACATTAGGATGGATGATATACAACATTCAGGCTCATCTAAATCCAAGATGGCGTCTAGTTATCGATCGAGATGCATGTGCTACGTTTTGGAAACAAACTTAAAGTGAAAGTTTGCCGCGGATTTTTTTTTGCAAATCTTTTTAATTCACTATATCTCTTGGTAAGGTTATGATGAAACGTTCTAGTCGCCAATTTGGCGACTAACTTTCAGGATTTGGTCGCCAAAGTGAAAAATTTAGGCGCATTGGCGCCTGTATTAGGCGCAATTTCACGCCCTGCTGGAACAGTTGGAACATGTGATCGTCTAAAGATCCCGGCTGATAGAGGAGTTAACAGAGAACGTCATTAACTCCTTACACCCTAACATCAGTATCCATATTCTCCAAACTCTTCTCCATACATTTCTTTTGGTACTGATGATGAGAGTTTGTAATTTGTGTAACAAACAAAGCTTCTTAGGTTGGCGATCGTTTCCTATATTCTCAAAATCTTAATAAATGATCTAGTAGTATTTCTTTAAGGAGAAAATAGATGCTGGTCTCTCCAAGGGTTTAAAGGGTTAAAAATGTTGCAGCACGCAGGACTTTCTTGGAGCAAACTGAAATGGCCATCAAGAGTATCGTTACTTTCCGTGGATAGGATCGTAGTCGATCGCATGTTAAACCTCCCCTCCTTCCCCCTTCACTTCGCAACGACATTTTCTGATCCAGGGGTACAGCGGGAGAAAAGTGACTTTCCAAAACACAACCCAATAACCTTGGCTACAGCTCAGTTCAACTCTGACCTTTGGAGACTATTAAGCCACAGTTGTTAATTCCTGTTTAGAGTATGCTAACTTTGTGGGTAATCTTATCGGTTACATTGATCTTTCACAACCCATAGACAATGTACGCCAATTTCGTCGTATCAGGCAGCGCTCAGGATGTTCATGTGCACAGGGACATTCAGGTGCAGGTACATAAAGAACTGGAACCACCATATGAGGAGCTATTTGACGCAGTCGAGGAGCATGTTCTTCATTCACTTCTGGAACCCTGGCAACTTCATTTAGAGCAAGAAAAAAGCATGTTCGATGCTGAGGTTAGGTTAAAAATTTTTATTTTTGCGTCTAAGCTCACTGCTTCTTCTTACTTAAACGAACGCATCCATTCCTCTACGAGATACCGGCTCTACGAGAAACTTCTATTCAATCATGATTTCACCCTTTCACTCCCAAGAGCTTGCGTCAATACAGAATAAATGTCATCCATTTTCATTTTACTATCATCTTTAATTAGGTACCTAAACAACAGACCTTGAGGCATATTGAAATTCAAGTGGTGGCGAAACGAAGGCAGAGCATTATTTCAACTCGTAGAGGGGTAAGAACGAGTTAATTTAGAGCACACAGAGTAGTATTCACCGACAACAGAGTCTCCCCTTCTTAACTAAAGTTAGATCTGTTGGTGTTTTCAAGTTTGCTTCCTGAAAAATATGGAATAGTCACTTTTGATTTTTTAATAAATTACAGACTTTCTTGATGTTTGACGTAGCCTGCGAGTAGCTCCTCATTATTAAGCAACGCTAGGCGGCGGGGAGAGATCTGAAAGGGGTCTGGCACTAATAATAAGTCACCAGACTCCCGGCAAACCTCTCCCCGACCAGTCCTAAATCTTGCGGGTGGAGAAACACGCGTGCTGCAGCGTTGTTTGTTTTGTTTTGCTTTGTTCTGTTTCCGAAAAACTTCAACGTGCAAGTTATAGTAATTGGCGGTTTTGCGCGTCAATTATTTCTCAGATCCTTATTTTCAATTGTGTGTCGATCTATTTCCTCACTTATTTACCACTGTATTATTTTATTTTATTTTTCCATTTATTTATTTCATATGATTAGTTGTTGCACGCTTATTATTTTGAAGCTTGACCCAGCCGAAGAGGATCATGAAAAAGAGCGAATTTCTGTAGAAGAAGCCAACAGACCTTTCCCTGTTCCAAAAGATGGAATCACGTTTGAATCACTCATAAGAAACCGAGACGAAGTGGAATACTTCAAAGAATTCCTCAACAAGAAACATAACAGAGGTGAGGGCAAGGGTCTGGAAGGGGAGGGTGGGGGGAGGGGGTTCCCACTCAAGACTGGGGGAGTGCTTGTCGGGAATTTGAAATGTAAACTCGAAAGGAGACTATTTCTATGCTGGCTGAGGCCCCACTTGATCCCCTTTGGTTACTACATAGATACATCAAAAAAGTACGAGCTACCGTGATTTTGAAGAAGATTTCACCTGCTCGAAACGTCATTACTCCTTATCCTTTCGTAATTCACTGAAAGGAACCTTGATTTTTTTCATTAAGTTATACCTACTGTACTAAAAACCCTAAGTGAGGCTTATATCAGTAATTAGCTCCTCTGTCGGGAACTGGGGCACGCATTAAAGCAACTATGTAATCGTTGGCTACGGAATATGTCAACTACAGGAAGTGCCTACCCAATAAACTGACCAGCCGAAGCATTGTAAGTTCTGTTAGATCTCGACCGTGATTATGACCAAATCTTAAGAAAACTGGCGATCACTGAATAGCGTAAGCATCTATATTGTGACTTGTCTTGGATTGTCTCCAGCGGCCGGAGAATTCCAGCAAACCTCTTCGCGAGACGATAAGCTTCTTCGGGGGGCGAGGTGGACCTCATCATCTCAGCATCGTTTTATCATTACCTGTTCTATTTCTGACGCTCAGCATCACGCTATCTTGTGTTCTTAAGGTATCAAAGATCTCATGGCTTGGACAGACATGGAGACTTTTCGCCGCGTTCCCCGATTCATGGAAGAGAAACGTGACAAGAAAGCCAGAGAAATTCGCGAGAACTGGCTCGGTAAGAAATATTTCTTTGGAGCTGACAGCCCAGCAACAAGGGATGGCCAAAACTTGGTAGGATAAACAGTTCATGTTGTTATTGTTCTCGCCTTTAGTCCTGTACTTATCAAATATCACATCTCTCCATCCTCCCTTGTTTCCGATTTCTTCCTTTCCCTAGTTTTTTTTTTGGTTTGTTTTTCTTTATTGTAGCTAGATATGATTCATTTCTCGCGAAAACTGTTGTTCGCCTGTCAACTCGCTTATGTCGGCGGTTACATTGCGCACGCGTTCGGTTACATTATTTCCGTTCATATCTCTGTTTCCTTGCATCCTGCACTTGTCTCTTTTTGCCTGTTTGTGTTTTCCGTTACATATTTTGCCTCGTCATGTATCGAGTCAATTCTGTAGTTATGGCTGTATGTAGTTTCCCGTGGTACATCTGTGTGTTGAGAGTCACTCGACACTTGTGGCCATTTTGGTTTTCATTCCGCAGGTTGTACTCAGCTGCTCAATCAAAACCAATCTAAGCAGCTGTTGTTTTCTAACTTTTTTCCTTGGATGCTCTCTCATTCACAGATAATGAACATAAACGGGGGACGCCCGATAAAGGAACGACCCCAGTCGCCAGTTATACTGGAAAGCCAGAAGTTTGTTCGCGCGCGAATTGAGCGCCGATGGTTGATGTTATTTAAACAAACGGCAGAATTTCTAGAAAGGCAAAAACCTCGCGCAGTTAGCGTGCCAGAGATGGTAGAGGACATCATGTTGAAGAGGCGGCTGCAGAGGAGTGAAGCTGCCTGGAAGGTAAACATTCTTTAGAACAACTATTAGATGAGTATCTAAATAAAGCGGGATTGCGTGGATTTTGCTTCATTACTTCCGTTGATTGGTCAAGAAATTTGGCGCCAATTTCTCAACCAATCAAATGGGAAATTATACCTAATCGCGACGTAGTCACTTTTGTTTTCCCGCGCTTCTGTTAGTTTGCTTTTTCTCTTAATTGAGTTATCATTGGCTCCTTGTGATATTTGTCCTTCTTCTCATTGGCTGCTGTGATAAGAAGCACTCAGTCGCTTAGGATCGGTTACCTGCGTCAGTTACGAGTCTTATTGAAGCTCTTTCTGTCATTGTCCTTTTTTATTGTTTGGCCGAAGTTCAACCCAGCTGCGCGTCACATGAGGTTAATTTGTTTTTGTCTCTCCAATTAAGATTTTAAACAGCAGGTGGGTGTCTTCGTCGCGTGACGTGGTGGCATTGCGTCAGACGCTACTCAATCCCAGTCTCGCTGCCGAATTCACGGCTTTCGTGGCAATGAAGGGAGACACCTTGGAAAGTAATGTTCAATTTTGGCTCGAAGTACAGAAATTCAAGGTAAGGTTAGCATATGTTTCTAGTAAGCGGTTTCACTTGCTAGTGGATAAAAATAGATATTCATTTGTTTACAGTAGAAACGGAGGCAAAGTCCCGAGAACGTTTACGATCAACCCTTTAAATCTCACGAGTGACTAACATGTAACTTCTCCCTACAAAATCCATACATTATCCACTAAATAGGTAATGGAAATATTCGAACTTACCAGGTAGAAGTTGTTATCTTGATTTAGTACCAAATTCTTGTAACTAAGTCACGAGGAAATGTGTAGCAGGAAGAGGGGAGAATTAGAAATAAGATCTTAGGAGTTAAAGGGTTACGTGCAGTAATAGCTTCGACAAAATCTGAGTCGCGAAAATCAGTTTGTAGTTCGTCTGATTCTACTCAAAATCGAGTATAATAATGTTTGACATGTTTTGTATGTGAATGGCAAATTCGACCAAAAGAGAGAGTTTTCAATTTTATCCATTTATGCACAAGGATAGCGATGGTCAGCTACTCTAAATTTTGCCTCATCATAGTTGGCTCCTCAAATAAAAACCTTTTTCCTCGATGCTGCGTGTTGTCACACAGATGTAGGCTAGGTTGCATTGCGTTACTAATGGTCCCTCTTTGTTTTATCAACAGGATTTATGTCATGCACATGCGCAACAAGCCCTAATTCAACGCAAAATTCAGACCATCATAGACTGTTTTCTGAACTCGGCTATTGCTCCTGAACTGCAAATCGATATTCCTATTGAGATGGCTGACAAACTGATGGAAAGGCTCTCGGGGAGGAATCCTTCAATTCATCCTTACGTCTTCAGAGAGGCACAGGTAAAGAAATTGGAGGGGAACACTCCCAAAGAGTCTTAGAAGAACAGTGCTAAATACGAGACTACTTTGCCCCCCACCTTGGACATATGCAATGCAAAATTAAAATGCCTGCTCGTTTTTCTTTGTTTCTCTTCAGATGACCGTTTTTCGAGTTCTTTTTAACCACTGGAAGGAGTTCATAACTCACCGGAGTAAAATACCAGAGGGCGAGGATCCAAGGGAACACTTTGCTGAAATGCTGAGGAGACACAGGGCTGACAACAAGTCTAAGAAGGAGGCCAGTGAACGGAGGAGACTGGCGCGACTCAGTGCCGAAAGAAAAAAGAAAGAAAAGGAGGAACGAGAAAAGAAGCGCATTGAAGATCTGTCAAGGTGAGAATTGAAAAGAAAGATTGACAATGACCTCGTGACGCATCAGTTGGGTTCCCTCTTTGAAACTCGAGAACCACGAAAGGATTTAGAATTTTTTTATCGGGGGGGAGGGGGGGTGGGCGGGTGGGAAATCTAAACCCTTGACCCTTCCCTTGGATTCGTCGCTGAGAACGCAGTCGTGTTGCGAGCACAGCGTAAAAAAAACTTAGAAAATGACACAGCGAACTCCTCTTCGTGACGGGTGAGATAAGGTCGTGTGGTGGAAAGTTAGACGTATGAATGGCTTATCAGTGCAATTGTGTCCACAGCTTATTTAGTATGGACACAGGCTCCTATTTTTACTCGGAAGAGGATGATCTACGCTCTTGGTCGTACTCCAAGCACTTAGTGGAGCAGGAGAGACAGGAACACATCAAACGGCTTAGGGAACAAGGAATTATTGTCCCGGAGGAAGAACTCGTGGAAGAAAAGGGTGAGTCATTTTTATTTTGTTATAATTCGTTTCCATGCTTTTTGTTTTGATAAAAAAAGATTTTTTTGCACTCTCGTGTGTCAGATAAGTTTGATTCAACCCTAGCAGAAGTCATCATCAGAGTCAAGTGAAGAGTTGTTGTCAATTGAGTATTATAAGTCCAGTTCTCTGGTGGTGACTTCTGTTACGGTGGTCGAAACGTCATTTACCAGTACAAACAGCAATCCTTCTCAGGAATAACCTCACCTACACTCTCCTACTTCACGCGTAGATGATACTCCTGGGTTTCAACCCTTTACTGTATCTGGTGTTTTGTTAAATTATGAGGCCACACTGGTCTTTGAATCTTGTAGCGTCCAAGTTGAATTTGGAGGCGAGAAGTGGGCCTGTGTTTGACTAAACATGACATCGTTGTTTTCATTAACCAGTGAGTATTACTTCCCTAGAAGATTGTTTTTCTCTCTGTTTCTCGTTGCAGAGGAGACGAAAAGTCGTCGCTCTCGCGTCTCCATGACAAAGTCCTCCACTTTTGGGAAGAAAGGTACAGAGAATTAATTTTCTGATTCAAACCTCTCCATGTTTGCTGCTCAAGTAGAGCTTCCAGTCTGAGCTGATATAAGCATTGGATAGTGATATCATTATTTATTTCTCTCATTTTTTATCGTAGTTCATGACACAGCCAGTGACAAGAAAAGCAGTGAAGGTGAGCTTCATTGTAGTGCAGTACTGTGTTTGTTCAAGCCTACCAAGACGATGAATTCATTGTCATCTGGGGCGTAGGCATAAACGCCCCCAAGGAGGCATAAACACAGATGGCAGCCTTAGGTTGAGTGTTCTTTTCCCTGGCGCTTGCCACACATCCTTTGCCCCTATCGTTTTGCTAAAAAATTTTTAAATAAAGGCTTCATTGTTGATTGTTTGATGTCAAGTAGTTGCTTTGTACTGCTTGTGGCCGTCAGCGTCTAAAAATCGTCTTTGGTTTAGCTCCCTCTCCTTACATTTAGGAGAAATACCACTCAAAGTAAATTTTCGAGAAATCCTCGTCCCTCAAAACAGAAACTTACCCTCACAGAAGCACTTCTTTGAATTCAACAAATCATTTATTTTAGGATCTTCGAGGAGACTTCAAGCAAAGCTCGGAAACCTTAAAAAGCACACACATGGTCAGATGTCTCCGTCGTTAGCTAGGCGTGGCTCTGCCGTGTCTACAGTTGTGTCAATAACGCGCCGTAATTCTGGCGTGTCGCTTGCACTGTCACGCAAGGATGAAAAAATGAGTGTGGCAACAGTAAGTAAAGATGACAAAGGTGTCGAAAAAGGAGAAGAAAAAGTCACTGTCCTAAAGGATACGCAAGAGGAAAAGATAAATCAAGGAAAAAGCTCTGAGATTCAAGTGATCCATATCGCCTCTCCAGAAACACCACAACCTCATAACGAAGGTAAATTGTTACCGCAGCGATCACGCAGTTCTAGGCGACTTCTACCAGGAAAACAGCCACCGAAATCCGCTGGAAAGAAACGCGTTCCCTTAGATGCTATTTCGTGTATTAGTGACTACAGTGTTTTAAGTAATATTGAGTTTCAGCCTCGTGTGACGCCGTTAGGGAAAGATGGTCAACAGGGAGGAACCTCTCTACTTACGTCCAAATCTCTCAAGGACTTCACAAACTCGCCTGAAGGTAAGGAGCTTTGTTGGAAGCACTGTCTAAGCCCCGGTGCGGTTACGAAGCACCTGAATGAACCAACTTTGTAACCAAGCTCTTTTGAAAGAGGCTTTTCATCCCCTAGTGGTAATGAAATTAGAATTTGGATTATGTTGGTGTTTGTAAAGAAGGCTATAGAGGGTCTTCAGGGATGGGTTAATGGTCCATGATTACGCTGGAGGGAGGAGGGGATCTTGGTGGTAACCTTTCCAACTAATCAGAAAATATCAGCTGCATGCATTGTGTTGCTGCGATAAATTCTCCTCTAAGGAATCGATCAAATTTTCTACACTTTCTATCGTTACAGGAGCTCAACTCTCGATGCCTTTACCGCTGGTCAGAATCACGTCAGCATCTCATCTTGAAAAGTCGGACACCGACGGCTCAATCGGAGATCCATCGCCATTGTACTACAAACCACGTCCGATGACCCAGAGCCTCAAGAAATCGCCCACCAGGCCGGGAAGGAGAAAGGGCCTGGGACTCACTAAAGAAGAAATGCAGATCAAACCGGATGTAATTGTGAACTAACTGACGAACGTTCTCTCCATTATATTTTTTCTTTTCCCTTTGAAGCTAGTGTGAAATGGATTTTTTCAAACTGAGGTTCATAAGAATCTCATCTTATCTGTGCTAAATTTACGGTACATTCTCGGAAATCGGTCAAAATTATTCGCAGAATGGTCACACAATCGCGTGCGCAACTTGCGTCACGTCGTTTGATTTCTGGTAAAAAAGTCGTTATGTATAGAAAAGTTGCTAGATATCTAATGTACATTGAATGTAAAAGTTATTGTATGACATAAAATGTCTCTATTGCGCATGCGACCAGGAGAGACGTGTGCGTCAGCACAGGAAAATGTGTCTGATTATTCAATTGCGACCAATCAGATTGGAACACGTTCAGTTGTTAAAAAGAATAGTAATGTTCGTGTTCAGATTCCTCTCTGGCATAGTCATTAATGCAACGAAATAAACCCTATTTAACAATTCCAATTAGTCTAATTTAAAAGCAATATTATTTGCAAATTTTGAGCAGGAAATGACAGAAGGAGTTTACTTTGTCAGCTGTAATGACAACTTGTGGATGATGGCCACCCTTCGCGAGTTGATCATCGAAGTTGCGTTGTTCATCTTGCTCTATGGCTTTGATATTGGGACAGACATCAGCGTGTTGTTGGAAGCGCAACGAACTTATAACGACTACAGAAGCCTGTTTCAAAATTCTAACGATAGTGCACGCAATGAATCGAAACAAATTGGGTTTTGTTCCAGTGGTCCTTGGAACACAGAAGACTATCAAAGAAACTTAGGGTCTTTTGACAGCACGTTGATAGCAATGAAAGTCTTTCTAACGTTGGCGAGCTTTCTCTTCCTTTTGTATCTGGCTCTTCATATATGGATCATTCATCTCGTTATTGAAGACCCCGATCTAGAAGAACACGAAATCGAAAAGTATATCACGGCAAAATTTGTCTTAGGGTTGACTTGTAGCATGGTTCAAGACATCTCTTTGACCAGTCTCTCCGTTGATTTGTTCGTCAAACGCGCCGGACCTAAAGGACTCATTTGTTGGGGATGTTATTACGATGAAACTTGCGTGGATAAGTACATCCTTGGAAAACGTTTCGATCACACAACAACACTTCTCGCCATCAGCCTTACAGCTGTGGTGATTTTGAGCCTTTACAAAGGTTTTGTTATATTCTATCGATGGAGCCGAGTCGACGAATGCCATTGTTACGAAATCCGTGCGTGCGTTTCGTTATTTGTTGGCGGTTGTTTCGCGCTTGTTGTTTTGACTCCGTGTTTGGCGCTGTTCAAGTTCGCGTTCTTCACGCTTCCTTCAGAATCTGAAAATGTGTTCAGTGGCATAACTGATAGACTGTTCATGATCGGTGTCATGATATGGGGTGTTTTCATTGTAATAGCCTTTTGTTGTCCCCTGCTACGTTTATGTCTACGCAAGTCGCGCAAAGCCTGACAAAATGTTTTGTGCTTCAGAACTAAAGAGTACAAAATGAGATGAAACCTTGTCCATACCCAGTATACCTTGTTGATTTTTGTGATTGCATCTATTTTCTTTTGAAGATGAACGGTGAGCCAAGTCGATTCAATGCTTGAGCCAACTAACCTTCAATGGTGCAATTTTAATAAGTATTTTGTTGTACTCGCAAAGGAAGGCGTTTCAATTATTTTATAAATTTCAGTCAATAGCCGTGTGTAATTTCATCAGATTGCAAACGTCGCAGAAAAGAAATATATCAGCGCTGAAATAGCTACCAAGAAATGAAAATAAAGCAAAAGGAGCGAAAGTAAACTATCTGACGGATCTTTAATTGAGCCTTTTTTTTTCAACCCTGATTGTACACCCTCCAACTTATTGTTGAATATATTCATGGTTTTAATCAAATTAAATTTTTGGGAATATTTTTAAAAAAACTCCTTATTACAAATCCCAGACAATGAAACACGTTAGAACTCTTTGGATCAATACCGTTAAACTTACGCAAAATGACATGAGAAGGAAACTGAAGGCGAGTGAATGCAAACTAACATGTAAATTATTTTTGATTGCTACCTAGGAGAGAGAAACCAGAATGAAACATTTTATTGCCTTAACACATTTTCGGCAATGAAGAACAATGGATTTGTTTTGAAAATTTACATGGCGAAGATAAGAGTGCTATTTCACGAATAAAATCTAGCACTTTTTTGAAACAATTTAAAAGTTTTCAAGGAAATCGATAATTGTTTTAAAATCTGCAATCAGCCATGCAGTTACAATTTCATGGTTATGAAAACGTGACTAAGAATTGTGATTAAAATAATGTTAAAAAAGCTTAGTATCATTCATATGTAAAAACATCCTTGAGCCTTCCCCCTAAAATGTTTCGTTTCCAAGGTAACAAACTTCCCATTTGTGACAATGTGTCAATCAGTCAGACAATAAATAAGGAAGGAGAAAGAAAAGAAAGTCTTTGAGCGAGGGAACCTAATAATTATTTGCTTCACCCAGACATCTGTAACAATTAATGTACTGGCAGGGAGGTCAGGAAAAAGGCTTTTGAATCAGGGCAAAGTATTTCCAACTGCAGTCAGACAAAATTTAGGATTAAATCTTATGAACGCTTGACGTTTAGCACGTGCGGAAGAGCACCTGGATTTTTTTTATTTTTTTCACAAGAGGAAGGGCAAAGTTACTTCAAATAATCAGAATTACCACAGTCAGCTAGGAGCAGGTCGCTAATCTCGTACCCAGATCCTACCGTTAAACTGTATCTGAAATGTAGTTTCCTTTCCACCGTTTGGCCGTTAAAGGTCTGGTTACAAGACCAGCCGGTCTCCTAAATAGAAATAGAGAGGGTGAGGGTATGCGGAAATCTAGCTGCCCTTAGGTATATTGCAATATGCATTTCTACCACCCCTCCCTCCCCCCAAAAACCCATTTTTCCTTCACCTGATGGAAAGGAACGGTCACATAAGTAATTCTCCATTTTCCAGCTGAAAATCGTCTTCACTGATCGACCTCAATGGACTAAAAAAACATCCTTACCTACATATATTAGATTCCAGGTCATGTCGGGTCATTTAGCGATATGTATTCACATTAGAAGAAAGGAGTCTGGAAAAATACTAATGACACACAAAAATATTTTGAACACTTGAAAAAAATAACTATCTTGATATAAAAAGGGTAGAATTGGGAATAGACTGGGGGACTATGGTTGTTCAGAACGTACGTGACCGTGCGTGATGGTTGATTTGCAATGCCTGAAAAGTAAAGTTTCAGAGAGTCTACTGCGTCAAATTTCTTTTCAAGAAGAGAAAGCTCCCAAACAGAAAAAAAGGTTTAACACTGGTAAAAGGTTATTCATTTGGGAAACAGAAATCTAAAATCTAAATTTATATCGATGAGCAGCGGAAAAGGAAAATAAGGAATATCCTGGGAATTTGGCTTTCCTTGCTCTCAAGGTTAAGTATATGTCTATGATTGATGAATAAATCCAAATAGTAAATATCTCTTTGTTTAATTCCTATCAGGGGTGTGTTGTATCAACACGAAGTTTGATTTTCTTGCCAAAATTAAAGTGAGTTTAAAATGGCAAAACGCAACAAGGTTTTTATCGCGAAAACAACATGTTGATTTTTTTTTTATAGCCGTGGACCTGTATTTAAAGGGGCTTTTAACGCTAACACCGAAGATATAGGGGTGACACGAAATTTTAATAGTACTCCTGAGGCCAGATCTGCTTAGTTAAAAATTCAAATGTCAATCTTTAATGCTGATGAGACTAGTTATTCTCATCGACTGTTTGCTGGATAATAAATTAATAATTTAAGGAGAAATTGAAGGTTAATCATTATGAGGAGGTGGAGGGTGGAAGAAGGGTGGTAAGCCAATTTATTTGTCATTATTGTGCCTTAAGCTCTGAGGTATCGGAGGAATTTAAAATTTTTTAAGAATTATACACTACATGATACTGCGAGTCTAAGTTAGAAAGAAAATTTTACATCGTCTAAAAGCGATGACTGATCTTTTGACTGTAGAGATAATTTTAAACAACTAAGAATTTGTTTTATGACCTAACGATCAAAGGAGTTTGAAATAATGACATTTCAGACTGATTGGGAAATATCACGCGTGTTTTTATATGGATATAATCAGACCTCATTCCAGAAATGACTCGTCGTTTGATAACAGCATTGCAGTCTAGTCGGAAAACATCACGCACGTAATGCGTGGAAAATCTGAAGGGCTTTTAAGTTCAGGGTGAAAGGTTATCAAAACCTGATGATTGGATATCTAACGATACCATCCAGTCAGACATCTCTCGTCTCCTAGCTTATCACCTCAATTAGGAGGTATATAACAAATCACTTGGGCGCAAAAGCGGTCATGATCAATAATTGCTTATTACCCTGATGGGATGATACAGGGTAAATATCATTTACACCGGCGCTAACGGGCTCTCCTGTACATGGTAACAGAATGCCGAATAATTCGATTATTAAAGACAATTTCCGATGGCGTATTCTTCTCTTCGTAAGCTTTAAAAATATCCAGTTCAATGCACTTAGATAAAATGTAAATTCTTTCCCTTCCTACCCTAAACACGATTTCGAAGTCCATTTATTGTTTACTGAGATACACAAGACATTGCGTAACTCTCAACCCCCCCTGGGACGGGAGGGGAAGGAGTGGGGAGAATCGAGTTACAGTTGAATTGTTGGATTGTAATTGCAAAAGAGGAAGGCTAAGAAATTCAGGCGGAAACGACATGGTGTAGAACGTACGGCTTGAATTATGTCAGAGGCTTAGACAGAGATAACCGAGAAAAGTTGAGAAATTAGGATGTTTTTCCAACTTCTCTAGACACTCAAGAATTTAGGGATATCAGAGATGAAAAAAAAACATTTCTTGTTTACCCTGAAGGTCATTTTGTTGACATTTTACTCAGTTGCCGGCCACAATCCAATTAGGTGTTTTTTGCCCAAAAATTGTTTACATACAATAGCAATGATAGCAGTCACTTTTAAAGTTTGACGTTCGAGAATATTCAGCATTTGAAAGCTCAAATGCTGCGTCTGAAAATTGATGGTTAAGTTTGACAGCGACATTGTCGTAGTTGTGTTGTTTTTAACAGGAAATTTTCACCACTGTAAAAAGTTGCTCGTTCTATCTATGGCCTTTGGAGCTGTTTTGGTATCATTTAGTAGAATTGGTGACTTTCAAGCTCTTTGTTTTTCAGATTTCTCTTTTGTTCCGTTTTACTCGGTTTTCTCTTTTACCTTTGATCGGCTTAAAAACCTAACACTGAAGTGGATAAGTTTATAGCTGAAAAATTGAAGTCGTCTTGATCTGATCGATTGGATGTGCAGTTAATTCCCACAAAGGGCATCAAAATATTATCAGAACCCATTTAGTCTTTTCGCTATTAGCGGATCAATACTATTATTAATTTGTCTAAAGAGCTGGGAAGGTTTAAGAGGAGGTCGTATTTGAATTAAAGACGACCCACAGATAGCTGTACCCTGTAGAGAATTTGTTCATGCTTTGGTCTAGCAACCGGTCTTAAACACATAATCTTATCCTGACCTCGAGCTCATAGTTTCTAGAAACGCTAATTGGTGAAAGAAGTGCGATATAATAACGATTTCGTCGTGCCGGGAAAACTTCAAACAGGAGGAATTAGCAGCGGTGTAACGTCCTCGTCGTTAAACGTATAATCATGTTTGAATTAAGCCTTATTTTCGCAGCCTTTTTTCATTAAATCTTGCGGCGTAACCGCAGAAAAATCTTATTAGTCGATCGAGGACAGCCAATTAACTAGTCGGCTTCGAGTAATTCTTACATTGTACTCCTGCCTCGTACAGAAACGGCTTAGAGTTGAAACTTGCACGCAACGAAGCTTGGTTGTGGCAAGTCGGTGCACGGCTGATTTGGAAAAAATTCGGACGGACGATCATTTATTTTGAAACGATAAAGAATTAGCTTTTTGAATTCCTCGTGTCAGTTGTTGTCCCGGACGAATACAGCGGCATATTCATCTGCTGGGATTTATACTTTGATTAGCAACTCCAATAGCAAATAATCTTATATCAAGAGGTCATATAGATTTGAAATGATGGAAAGATAAAAATGCCCGGCGCCTTTGAAGTTGTGATCGTTAATCACAAGTTCTCATGTCGAGGCTCGGCAGTTCTATGGAATTACCTTATTGCATGCTAATCAAATATGGCCAACCATATATATATTTCGATATATTGAATTTACTGAAATTCTAGAAGAAGGTTTTAGGTTCGCTTGACTGCTTTAAATGGCGAATGATTCTCCATTTTTTCAAAACTTATTCCTTTAAAACTCAAACACGTACGTAATGATAACCCAAGTAGCCATTTTAGCCTCTGGGGAAGAATCTTGGAACTTCCTTCCTGTTCTTTAGATCATGCTTTGTGCTCCAATGAGCTCTTCAAATTTTTTTTTGTTTCAGTTTACAGAAAGGTTATTTTAAGCGTCATTTATATTTTGATAAACCTTCCGGTTAAATCAGAGCATTGTAGTTTAGCACCAGTTTTAGGATGAACTTTAACATCATAAAACACGGCTATATATAGCTCTGCTGGAAGCAAATAGATCACGGCAAATAATAATGAAGTCTCCAGACCAAAGCTTGTTTGGCAAGGTAATGATTGATCCTCATGATTTCACATGATAATAGGAAATAGATGTCCTCAAGCCCTGAGCTCTTTCACTCTGGGGCTGTGGGAACGGTAAAATTCTCACTCTCACTGAAAGATAAGTGAGCTTAAGTGAACTTTGTTCAACCGAAATGTAGCGTGATTTTAGACTTCCTCTCTACCTTGCGAGCTGAATAAACAGCCTTTCTGACAACAGAAACACCAGCTTGTTTTCCAAAGCCATTCAGATTGCTATTCCAGGTTTTCTGTACAAACAAAGATCTTTATTGTTTGCATCAAATGTCAGGTGTGAAAATAAAGTGTTTTCATTCACTAATTTTCGGCTCTTACACGAAAACAACCTTTGTTTGACGGGTAGGGCGTCGGCTTCGACTGTTTAGTCCCGCCTGGCAGCAGCGGCTCCAAATTGTCGTGTATTTACGGCTTATTTTGGCCTGTGATATTGCCACTTCGGAAATTGAAATAGTTAGCTGCCAGCCGGCCCTTTCCCTTTCAAAGCTTGGGCTTTTTCACTTATGATAAACAGTCCAAAATGTCACCCTTCCATATTTGACCTGAGCGATGCGGTGTTTAGCTTGAGTACTATTTGTAGACGATCCAGCCAAGTTTGAGAGATATTTCAGCTTAATTGCGTCCAATAAGATTCTCATACTTACCCTCAGAACCTCTTACAACTAAAACATATTAACAGCTTTCGCTATCAGATTGTTCTAGATGCTATCAAAGGGAGAAAAAGTTACTATTCATAAATAAATAAATCGGAAGTTCCTGAACGTTTTCGACACAGACATTCAGCAGTGCCTCTGTTTCCTTGTTTTTGCCTGTGAAATTTCACGACTACCGGTCTCGTCTGACGCGCTGTTCACGGTGTTTGCGGAACTTTAGTGCTTTCGTGATTACAAGCTAAATCTTGGCTTAAACTTAATTAGGATTATCTGAGGAGAATGGCTGTTCCTAAATCGACTTAAAAGTGGCCACAAGCATAGTTTGGTTTGCTCAGCATGCAACAATTTATCAGGTCATATAATGAATGACGCGTGAAATGGTCTTTCGCGATTATTTCTTCAAGAACATTGATGCTCATTCCGTCAAAGAAAATACGCGCTAATATCGCCTGATTGCAATATTGCGCTCTCTTTTGAAAGCTTAAACAACGATATTTTCCTTCTCTCATGTCGAGAACTTATAAAATCTGAAATTTGTTTTTCGTGATTAATATTCACTTAAGCCAGTCATAGAAAAAATATCATCCACTATAACCTCGCCTCGGTGGACAATAGACATCAATTATGAAGGAATTTGAATGCATTGTTTCTCTAAAGACAAGAGAGGGGTAGCACAAGAAAAACTTTGCTTTTTAAACATCCTTTAGTCTTGGCCTTTAGTTTTAAAACATCCGCTTGATTTCCAAGCACAGGCAATCAAATATGTTCCAAGGTGACGCCACCTTAGCAGAATATTTGAGATTGGTAGTTTACGATTTTAGGTGCGTCATAAATTGCCCCCCATCCCCACCCGGAGCGGTTTCCTATTTGGGATGTTTCGCATGATTTCTCCTGAATGCTAGTGTTTATTTGGTCGAGCTGAGATTTCAAACGCATATTGCCAGGGGAATTCAGAGGACAATCATCGACGGCTGAAAGATTTGGTACCTGATTACATTCAGCTTACATCGGCGCGGAACGAAGCAGAAACTGGATTGCTGAGCGGACAAATCACAACTTGCTCTTTAGTCAAATCGACTCTCGTGAAAAAACTTCTGCTTTTCGTCCAAGGCACAAACACGCAGAACACAGGAAGCCATGAATTTCGCAACGAAGATTACAATCGTGTTCACTCTGATCTATTTGTGTGAATTGAGTTACGCGCGAAAAGGTGAGTCCACATCGAGTAATTCTCTTTCGATGCTAGATTTTATTGGTTAGAATTATCTAAAATATTCACTGAATTACTGCGAAAGAATTTCATTGATTCACAAGTGCCGGAATTTCAATTCTGTGTTCGAAGACGTTAGCAGTCTCCCGCTTTTTTCGCCACAACAAAAGGCAGCCACACGTTAAATTATCGATTTATTAAAGGAAAAAAATATGTGTCGTTTAATTAGATGTAACTAGGAGCGAGTAAAGGCCTTTCAGGATTGGACAGATTATTTTTAATGCAAATCACGACTACGTGATGTGATGTACGTTGAAAGCAACAGATAGCTGAAGTTTTTGTACGTGGGCATTAAAAGACAAAAGGTTCAAAGATCAAGCCATTTTTGTTAACGATCCCGCGAAAATGCTTCAAACCTTTCACTGAATCAATAAGGGATCAGACAATCGAAGAGTAAATCTGGCAAAATATTCACTATTCATGGTTTTGTAATTCTTTCTGCGTGAAGGTTCGAAACATCGCAAACATCCGGAAAAATGGAACTCCTCGGAAATGGACCAGCGGAATTCTGCGAACGGATCTATCGCGTTTGGATCTCAAGGAGAAACCACGACAATGCGGCCGTCCGTATCATCAAAGCCCCCTGTTAAAGTCAAGGTGGTTTCTAAGACGTCCAGTAGGAAACACATGATCAAAAGATGTTGCCGAATCGGCTACCGCGCTGCCAATAGGGGTCTGTACTGCTCGATAGACAGATACTATTCCGCGAAGTACAGGAACATGGAGCATTACGCAAGGCAGCGCTTCCAATGGCGAAAACCGTCGCGGGCCACGAAACGTTTCATGCATCATTTGAACAGATATTGCATCAAGCTTCAGCTTAAGAGCGTATTTTACAAGTGTTGTGATGATGGTATGCAAACTAAACGCGAGAAGGCAAGATCTAACCGAGAGCCTTAAAGTCACCACCACCAAGTATAGTCAGCCGGGAACGTTAATTGTTGAACTAAAATAATTTCAAAACTGAACGAGTCAGTATTTTGAAGTGATAAATTTAGTGTGTTTTACGAACAGATTTTGTGTATAATTCAGTTCAAAAGTCGAAAAGGTACAAGGGGCCATGAATGTAACTGTGACACTTTTGAAATAGGTTGCTGTTTTTTCTGCTTTCGAAATTTTCTTTCAATGTTGATTTCCTTATGGAGTGTTTTCAGTGGCTCGCGTTTTACTCCTGTAGAAACACTTAGATGTTGTCTCCTAAAATACATTGGTTTAAGTTCTTAGGTAATTTGATCTGTATATTGCTTTGAGAGCTTGTAAAATATGTCACTCGTAATGTCTCAAGTTTTTAAAAGGGAAAGAAATTTGGCTGTCTTTACGTTCAAACACACCTTTCCAGATGATTTTTGTTAAAATGTAGGTCTCATAGAAACTTTTGGTACCCCCCCAAAAAAAATGTAGAGACACGGGAAACACGATAAGTATTTTGTACATACATGATACAAGGTTGCTGTGTATGGAGGCGCGATTTCCATAGGCTCGTGACACCAAGCGCAGTCCACGTGCAAGAAATGTTTGTAATTGGTAGTGAAATATCAACTTTCATTCTTTTGCATGTGTTTAGCTTAGCTGTAAAGTACAGGCCGTATTTTCATAAGTTGGTAATCACTTAAACTGTAAATAAAAACCCTGTATTTAATTCGCCTGTTTTCATTTTGTGTAGTTGTATTTTTTTTCGGTTTTTTTACGCGTGCTTTACATTTGTTAAGCCGATTTCGTTCCGCGGGATAAAAGAATGGGAATTCTCTAGCAGAATAAACAAACATAAAAAATTTCCAATATTTTGATCAACAGGAAAATGTTCCCTCGGAAACGTTCTCCGAGTGAACGGGAAACGAAACACACAAACTTCCCTAACAACGTCCTGAAAGATAATGAAACGGAAAAACTAAAAAAAAAGATCACAACAGAACAATAGAAGTATAAAAATTAGTAATAAATAGCATCTGTTAACAGTTCACAGCTTTTTCCATTACCCAAATTTTTCAGACAATAATAATCACCGCGAGAATAGAAGTTAAGGACTTGACACAAAGGAAGCATTCATACAAACTGTTTGACTTCAACATATTTCTATCTGACCTATGTTATATGTAGCAAACTGATTTATAGCCCGAGGCCTTTCTTTATCCGGTTTTGAGCGATCGAACCTTCGTTTTCCAAATCTAATTTGATTTTGAAGTTATTTTGAAAAAGTTGTATGATCACCGCAGTATATCGATATATCACGCGTTCCGTTAAACATAGGATTTTTTATTGAATCTCGAGTACTTGGAACTAGTTACCTGCTACTTTTCAACACCAGTTCCAACGGTTTTGCATGTAAAATTAATCTCTAGTGCCCTAGTAAAGATAGATACTTCGCAATGGCTCTGAAAAATCCACAGGTTTACGGAGAACGGTAAAGCGATTAGGAAAAACTGATTTGCGCCATATTTAACAATAGATGCCATACGGCAGAGAAAATCTTTCAATAGAGAAGTGTTTAAGAAAATGATATCTGGGTGAAAAATACTTGGTAAGTTCCAGAATCTAAAATGCGTGTTGTGGTGTCTTGTCTTTCTCAGGATTTAACAACTGTGAATAGGTGCTCAATGCCGAATAATTTTTACTTGCAACTCATTTTGATGGCGTAGAAATGTCACTTGTGGCTAAATCGAGATGAGAAAAACTTCTTCTCTAAGGTCGTTGCGGGTAAAAACTAAGATGGAAGATCTTCGGTAAAAGAACTTAATCGAATTAATTTGGCGAACAAACTCTCGGCTGAATCGGAGTTAACCGAACTGTCGTGTTGAGTGGAGTACATTTAATTTTGTGAGCGGGACGAAGTGACGATTTTTACAGTAAATTTTCTAGAAAACAAACAACAGTTTGACTATTTTTAACCTTTTTCGATGAGTTCTTCCTTTTCGCTTTCCGGTGCTTGCAAAAATTGACGGAAACGTAATGAGTAAAAAAAAAGATAAAAGTTTAGAGGCACGAAGCGAGAAACCACAAATTTGTCTGGATCCTCGCCAAACTTCCAACAGAAGTACTCAGAGAATTTTTACACATACTGATAGTGAAATAATAACCGATATATTAATGATGATGATCAACTGAAATGACTTTAAACCTCATTGAGATATTATAATTTTCTGACGCCGTCTTAATTCAGTTTCTACTACATGGGGAAAGAGCTAGCCACAACAGTCTCACATATCTGTTCGAGTTCACTGGCATTCTGACGGAGACCTTTTGCGATCGCAATCTATATGGCAGATTGTTAAAACAACGATTCTTTAAAAGTACTATTTCTGTGCCACACTCGCTTGTGAGTTTTAAGAGATTTATTTCTCTTGTATTCCAATAACTCGCCTCCCTACTGAATCCCTGCAGGACGCTCCATGTATCTTGAACCTATGCGAATGAGAATGAGTGGTTTCATTGATAGCTGAAAATTCTCGTCATTTTGAGCATTGAACTCTTCTTCTCATCACAGTTGGTTCTTATCGACCTACACTTTGTTTGATATGCGCGCCTGACATAACTAATCCTTGACAAATTAATTCCGTGTAATTTTGCTGAATCCGTCCGATATTCAAAATCACCTGGTTGTGAAAGATTGCCATCGAATAATGATTATATTGTTTCGCATGGGAACATCAGCATTATATTGTATTGGTCTAGTTTCACAAGAATAGAGAAACGTTCAGGAGTACTTAATATGTTTCAAAACGTTAGACTGACGCTACTTCATTACAGATCTTTTATCCTTTGTCTCCAAGTCCGGTCCAGAGTTAATGAAGCTCGAACAATTTCAGTCAAGACTTTCAACTCGCCCACATGATTCAGCAGTTTCGTATGTGTCAAGAAAATCTGATGATCTGTAGATCGATTCTGATATCCTCACTCTTTTCTACTAGTCTCGGGCAACATTTTAGGAAAGACAGACTCCTGAAGTACCACTTTGATATAGTACGCATCGTTCGACGGTGAGAAGAGCTCACGCTACAGTATTCAAGTTCATGCTGTGTTGAAGGATTCACAAATATAAATGTTAATGAAAATATTTGCAATTTCTCTTGACTGGCCTGATCGACGAAACGTCATTTTTTGTGACAGCTCTTGAACAGAACAAAACGTTGAGACCAAGTGTCCGGAAACGCCCATCTCACATCGATCACATCAGTGATTTCGGACCAGGGTCAAGAATGGCTTGCATAACAAAAGGTCGTGGGAGATATGAGATCATGCGGTCAATTCCATCTTTTTAGATCACTTGGCTAATATACTATCAACAATGAATAACTTGTCTTTTTTCCCTGCAGAAAGACTTAGCTCGCGATGAATTTACTATTGGCAAGGAGGTTACCGACCGTGCTTAACACCGCGTGGCTGAAGAGTCTCGTTGCACCTTCTAAATGAATCAACTGATCATAAATCGTTTGATAGTGATTTAAGTTTATATTATTCGCACCATCAGGGAGAATAGGAGATATAATGAAACATAAACGACTGAGAACCGAAGTTTTCTAAGTTTATCCAAGCACCGGCTCCATTTCCCCCGCAAATTAAGATCCAAGTGCGCGAATTTGATACGGTGTTGTAATTATGATTTAAAACCTAGAGATCTTTGTCCGCTTCGGCGAAGTGTGTGATATTAAATGATATAGCAGTGCGATCCCAATCAAAACGTGATCAATCGTAAGATGAGGACCATCAAAGAGGGTAGCAAAGGGAGTCCTGATCCCGTTCCACGCATGAAATTTAGAAAAATTCACGCGTCACCCTTACGAGAGGGAAAAACAAATCTCTCTTCTTGTGCGCAAGGTTTCAGGGATTTTAGGGTTTTCACGAAATGGAACAAAAAATTCACGTGTTTCGTTTATTTCAGAAAGCGAATCACGCCCCAGATGCTGTGTTAAGGAATTACGAATCACGCTTGCCTTCCTAAAAAATTCACGGGTCACGTATAAACCCTTTGCTACACTCATCAAAGTGGGACTCCTCATTGTGGATATCGATATCAGAATGTTGTTATTCTTACCCTTTAACCCCTTAGAGTGACAGACTAATAATTTCTCCTTACAGTTTCACTTTTGAATCAAATATAACGATCATGAGAATAAAGAAAGTGATCACCAATTGAAGAAGTTCCTGGTTGTCGAGCACATTATCCTTGTTAGTTCGATAGGAAACATTAAGAGAACAGCGTACAGAATATGAATAATAATATTAACTTAAAACGCTACCCTCTGTTACCACCAATATGTTAAGGCCACTTCTTATGCTGGAGAAGGCTAGGCTCTGGGTCTGATCCAAGCATGAATACCTTAAGTCACTTTGACCACAACGGATGCACAAATTATTTTCCTGATATGGGTCCAATTTTATTCATATTGACCAAAGATACATTTTTCACGCCGGAAAATTTAAAAGAGAACGTAAAAAAAATTCTCAGTCGAAAAGTTGGATTTAAGATTTATGTAGAGACGAAGTTGGCTGAAGAATTGAACTTGAAGTGTAAGCAAAATTGTATTAGGAAATTAGGATTATTTGATTATAACATAGTGCCAACTTACATGATATGAACATATATCTATGTTATTGTCCTCACTGGTGTATATTGCATGGTCTATAATATCTTGCTGTTTTTTTTTACATCGAAAGAAGTCTCATAAGAAATCCCACTGGCGTACGTGACGCCTCTAAATAGAAGGACCTATACTGACGGACCCCTTCTGCGTGCCTTCATACTGACCTACTGGCAACTGCTCATGATCACGTACTAATCACTTACGCGTGATCTAGATTGGTTCGCGCAAGTGAGTAGCTACACGCGAGTGAAAAGCCACGCGCGTCAAAGAGCGCACAGAGAGTAGAGGTAGCTCTCTCTCATGTTTCTGCTCTCTTGTGCAAGTTTTGCTGTGTTCTTACCAAGCCCCTGCTAAGCCGGCCTGGTACCCAGCCGGGAAGAATCCATTGAAAAATCTGAAGGATTTCAATTATATTAGCTCTTCCGAAATACTTGCCGTCACAAACAAAAACATTAAGCTTCATTTTAAGTGATAAGGCGCAGAGTAAACCCACACATTCGCACAAGTTCTTTGAGCATAAACTTTCCAGGGTAGTTTCTTCCCCCTTCAGCCTTGGTGAATATCCTTTCTTGGCCGGCGGTTTGGTCGAAATTGTCAGCGCAGCATAAATCGCAGCTTCTTCTCATGATACTCAGGCGGTTTGGTTGTTTTGACTAATTTTGAGTGTCGGTTTGCGGTCACTGTCGTATTTTTGTATACGTGGCGGTTTACAGTTGGAAAATTACGGCGCGGCTGCGGAAGATTATAACTTTATTCACGCGGTTTTCAAATTTTTTCGTGTTTGGTGGCGGTTTTGTAAATAGCCGTTAATAGGCTGAAGTAAACGCCTACTTTCTTTTTCTTGAAGCCTACTTTCTCAAGCCTGTTCCTAAACAACGGAAGAAGATTGCGTTTTAGGGCTAACCGAACTACTTTTCTTAGTTAATTTATTTCAGAAGTGGCGGGGGGGGAAAGGGGAGATCACACGGTACAAGCGAGTCACCCAGCCTTGCAAAGTTGTATTTTTATACTTTGTTGTTAATGAGTTGCCTTTTCTCTGTCTGTAAATTATTTATTAGAATTCGTTTTTTTTTTTCTGCGGGTTATTGAAAGGGATTAAATCAAGATGAATTAATTAGTTAATCTTCTAAAAACAAGATGTCTTGTTGTTAAGATATTGTGATCTTTGCCGGGATAAATACGATTAAAGTAAAGAATGTGCGAAGTCTCTTAAAAGACCGGCGCTGTGGGATTCATTCTGCCACGAAGGCGGTGTCTGACTATCGGAGAAAACGAAAGCGGTTTGTGGAATGTTCACCCTCTGTAATAAACTCTCTCTTCAAAGCAGTTCCGGTAACCAACTCGGGATGACCACTTTCACTACCGCGTTAGTCACTACCCTCTCAGTTGAGAAGCTTTAATATTACACTGCCAAACTAGTCCAATCAGGCTGCAGGAGCATACCAATATCAATGCTCCTGGTCCAATCGAGTGTTATGAATTTTTCTCCGGGACTTTTGTTTGTTCGAAACACACTATGGAGAATGTCATCCGTAAGATCTTGTTCTTGTGCCCGATCTTTCATAGATTTTGAAATACCTTGTCAAGCAAACCAGATTTTAAGCGAGCTTTCGCGCTTATTGCCCCAAACTAGGATCTGAGCCTGCAGGAAATGGACTGAAGAAAGCGGTATTCTAAGAACGAAGGGTGTAGGGTATTGTATGTAAAGTATAGGACATTATATATATTTAGGACATAATATGCGCCCATACATGACGTACCTACCGAACGAAGAGAGTGGGAACGACTGAAGAAACGATGGCGGCCGATCAAGGGTGACTGAGAGTTGTACTAAGAATAAACTAGGAAAAATGCAGGTTTCACAACCGAATAATGTTAAAATTTATAACTTGTCGGCAGGAAAATCTTTGCCGGAGGTAAGAAAAGGAGATGATTAGCATTACGTTTCACTGTTTAGCTTTGAAGTCGAAAAAGTGCCCGGAAAGGGCAACACGTGTCTTATGTTTACAACCAGAGGAAATGTTTGATTAAAAGAATTTTGACGATATTCGTTTCTATTTGTAGTGGCTTTCTGAAAGAAAGAAGCGAGCCTTGCAGAAGAATGATATTAGTAAGTTTTAAACTGTGTAGAGGTCAAAATGTTGATTGATAAAGTCATATTCTCATCCTTTTCTCGGAATGTTGATTGATAAAATTATATTCTTGTCTTTTTCTATTACGTTTCGTGGCTCAGCTGATGAATGTAAGTGCAGTTGCTTGGAAAGTTTATATGTGGCCAGAGGCAACTTGCTTAGAAAATTCCCACCCCTTGTCTAAATAATGTAAAATTCAAAGTATTTTCTTTCTCTTTTTACAGACATCAGAAGACGAATTGAACTTCTTCAGGATTTTGAGATGCCAATTGCTTCTACAAATGTTCGTGTTTCTGCAGACAAACAGTACATAATGGCTTCAGGTGAGTTTTCTTGTTATTTTTTGTGCAGTAAATGTACTAAAATTTTAATTAAAGTGGGATCTGTAGGAAAGTGCCATGTACATGAAGAGCATGAGCTGTGAAGTCTGTTTTAAAGTTCCAATCTATGAAAAACCAAGGCATTTTAAATTTCAATAACTTGAGTGGAATATTAAAATGTGCAAGCAATACTGGAGAGCTCACATACCACTTAACAAGCAGTGTACAACATCCAGGGTGTCTTTCTAGCTATAGTTGTGGCAGCTGTTTGTTTAGATTGATTGTAAAGTTCTATAGAGATCCATGTCATGTAAATCTCTGTTTTTTGTAACAATTCCTTACTTTTGTCTACAAGGGGTTTACAAACCTCGAATTCGCTGTTATGATACATCAGAGCTTTGTATGAAGTTTGAAAGATGTCTGGATTCTGAAAGTAAGTTGTGTGCTCATTCTTTCTACATTATATCATCATGTTATTCTTCAGGCTTCTTTTTATAAATTCCCTTTAGCCATAATTGTTAATCCAACTTGAACAGAATCAAGGGTAATTAAATGACATTTTCTGTTACAGGAAAAGTCATGTGGATTATTACATTTTTGGTCAAAGAGATCTTTACTTTTATACAGGTGGACAAATGTTTGTCTGAGCATAAACATAAAATTTATGAATGTAACTATTTTTGCTGTTATTTCTTTACAGTTGTGAAGTTCCATATATTGTCTGAAGATTATTCTAAGGTACAGAGTGCATTATCTTGTATATATGATTCAGTACTTGGTTTGGATGAAAAAAATTCTTTATTGAAAATTGCCATCACCACAAACAATACACCAATGCTTAAAAAATGTTTGATAGATTTAATAACAATTTCATTTTACCAACTGTTTTGTACAGAACTTGTCTTGCAGAATTTCAATATCTTTGTTTGTTGTATAATTATGTTTTCAGCTGCCAGTAGCTTTTAAGTTCACTGTAAATTTTCTAAAGGACTGAAATTAACTTTACCTGAATTCATGTTGCTTTGTTACATCAGATGGTGTTCTTAACCTGTGATCGCCATGTGGAGTTTCATGCTCAGGTAAATGGTAAATAAATGTAGAAATTCTTGTCTTTCAAATCACTGTGTACCAAGCAGTGTAAATCCAATTAGACTGATCAAGACAGGTGAAGCTATATTATCTGGAAGTAGTGGTTGGCAATTGATTTCAAAGTCTTATTCAAAATATATATTAAAACTATTTTTTTGTAGTATGGACGTTATTATCGTACCAGGATTCCTAAGTTTGGACGTGACCTTGTTTACCATTATCCATCCTGTGATCTCTATCTTGTAGGAGCAAGGTAAATTTTACAGGGATTGTTTGTGAATTTTCATCTTTTAAGTCTTTGTGTAGAATTTTCATGAAGTCACATATTCTATTCACAATTTTATAACCTTCATTGAGACTGCAACTTATAGAAGTGTATCTTTTGTTAAGAGCTTTGCATTTTAATCACTGATTTGTTTTACTTTGTGAGAATGAAAGTGATTTTTTGATGAGGATGGCTTGGTTCAAATTGACTCTGTTTCTTTCTATGTTTGTCATCATAATTTGTAGATTCAAATGAAAATGAATTTGAATCAAATTAGTTTTATAGTTAAAGATGATTGCCTCAGTATTTGTACTGTTCTTCACTCTTTGACTCTCGAGATTTGATTGTTAATTTTTTGAACTAATCTATAGTTCCTTGTCAATTGATTAAGCTAATTGAATGTTTTATCAAGATGACACCTTTTGACCTGTGTGTTTGACTATTCTCATCCTCTGTTTGTTGGATATTGATATAGAGAGCGAAGTTACATTACACTCGCTTTTTCTCATGTGATTACTTGACTTACAGCTCTGAAGTATACCGACTGAATCTTGAACAGGGAAGATTCCTAAATTCTCTTCAGACCAATGCTGTGTAAGTCCCTTCCATTGTTGCAACCAATTTCAGTTCATTTATCATTAATTTTGACCAGTTCTTGACCAATTACACTATACTTGTACTTTCAATTTGTTCCAGTGAGATAAATACTTGTGACATTAACCCTGTGCATCAACTTTTTGCTGCTGGAACAGCTGAGGTATACACAGCTTGATTTGTTTGCTTCTCTACCTTTTCAATAGTCCACAGGTGTATAATACACGTGTTATCAAAGTGTAATAACAGCTGTTCTGTCCCAATTTCCAAACATATAATTTAATTTATTTTGGTTGAATTTTGTCACAAATTATAGCTTTAACTGTACCTTCTTCATACAAACTGGGTTTTAAATCTACTTTAGTCCTAAAAGACTAATTCCATATTTTAAAAACCCTATGAATATGACCATGTAAGTGAAATGATCACTAAGTAAAGAAGCTCTTGATCATTAAATTAATTCTCCTTCTCAGCACGTCAGGAAATGTATAGAGAACAGTGAAGAGAATGTGCATACTGATGTTAGGGTTACTAGAAATTGGTGGTTACTTTTATTGGGTTACATTGTGTGATACTGATTTTGTAATATTCCCAAAAATATCCCTCTTTCAAAAAGATCTTACCAGCCATATGATTATTAATATCAATTTGTTTGTTAATAAGTAAGAATGTAAAATTATAGCCCATGAATTTGAGCTTTTAACCTCACTGAGGGAAATTATTTAATTTCTATCAGAGAGATCTTTTTAAATATACCTGTACATGTATATGTTGGGCATCTGCAGCTGAATTACTGGTAGTGTTACAATAATTGCACTATAACTTGGTTTGGAATGTTGTTTTATTTAACAGTGCATTAGCCTGAGTATAGAAACATAAAATTGTAAGTTTTCTTGACTCAAAACTTTTCTCTTTTTCTTCAGGGGCATGTGGAATGCTGGGATCCCAGATCACGTAGTCGTGTTGGTTTGCTGGACATTGGACTCAGTGGATTTGATTACCAAAGGTACTGAAAACGCTGGCAACCCACATAATGATGAGTGGGCTGTTAACCCTTCAACTGTCATGAGAGACCAAGACAGAATTTCTCCTTACAATATCAATACAATATCAAGCAGACAAGTGATGAGAATAAAGAAAAATACTAATTAGGATTATTAGTTGAATCAATACCAAATTCTCAAATCTAACATCACAAGAGCTGTATGGCAGACAGTAAGGAGAATTACCAATGAGATCTTGGGAGTTAAAGGGTTAACCCTTCAACTGTCATGAGTGACTAAGACAGAATTTCTCCTTACGATATAAATACAAAGTCAAAAAGACAAGTGATGTGAATAAAAAATCATCAATTAGGGAATTATTTGTTGATTAGTCCCTTCATGTATTAAAATTCTTTCAAAATATTTCACTCGGCATGTTATTGACAAAATTAATTTGAATTCCTCCTTTCAGCTCAGACAAAGTTCCAGCTGTCACAACACTGCTGTTTAAGGATGGACTGACAATGGGTCTTGGAACAAGTACTGGGCATGTACGTTGAATTAGATTTGGTCCTGCTTTTTAAACACAGCTTCATCTTTTTCTTAGCTTTGATTTAAGATGGCCCTGGAAATTTAAGTGATGTCTGAAATCACAGCATTCAGCAGATGATTAAGTCCAGTGTCTCCATACATGCACAGTATCCCTGGGCTGAACAAGGAGGTGGCTGTTACCCTCCTTCAAGATTATCTTCAATAGTCTTGAAGGAGATTGTAGATAACATTGCACTGTACCCCTGAAAGTCATTGGTTTACTTTAGTTGACTTTCATCTGCAAGTCATTTGAAATTTATTTCAGTTAAAAATGATGATCAGATTCCTCCAAGGTAAAGATGAAGCCTTTAACTTTGTCTTCTCCTAACACATGGCTTTGCAGCTCAAATGGTGGTGGTGCCCAAGAAGTATCTGGGAGGCACAGGGTTTTCATCCTGTCAAAGCCTGAATCTTTTCTGCCAAAGCTTAACCCTTTAACTCCCATGAGTGACCAAGACAGAATTTCTCCTTACAATATCAATACAAAATCAACCAGATAAGTGATGAGAAGAAGACAAATATCAATTTGGGGATAATTACTTGGTCCAACACTAAATTCTCTGAACTGACATTATAAGAATTGTATGGTTGACAGTGAGGAGAATGACAAATTTGATCTGGGAGTTAAAGGGTTAAATTTTAGTTCAGTACCTGCAAGGATCATTACCTTACTTGATTTTCATCTACAGGTCCATTAAAATTTATTTCATTTAAAAAATTGTGAGAAGGATTATCAGTATATGAAGTATAAAATTGACAAAAACTGAATTTGCAGCTGTTTTGGAACTGAACTACATGTATGCACCTGTCTTCAGTCATCTTAAGTAATGATGGACCATATATTTATCAAGCATTGGGGTTGGAGAATTCTGTATGTACTAAGCAGAATTCTGTGGTCAAATCTCCAAAGTCTGAACCAGTTCTTACTAATAGGTGGCAAATATTATTATATTACTTAACACTTTTACCTTTTTATTTTTCATTCACCACCTGGAATGTTAACAACAAATAAGGACTTTACAATTCATTTGGCTAATTTTTTCTTCTCCAGGTTTTGTTGTATGATCTTCGGTCTACCAAACCTTTGTTGGTGAAAGATCACCGATATGGCCTACCCATCAACAGCATTGCCTTCCAAGATAAACTGGATGTTGTGTTGTCTTCTGATTCAAAGATCCTCAAAATCTGGGACAGAGAAACGGTAAGCAGGTGCATTAGTTTGTATGACTGTAATTCATTTGTCTTGTTCTTTGTGCTAACAAGAAGGCAAATGGATAACACCTTTGTTTCTAGTTAGAGAGGTAAAAATCAATCACCTTTCTTTATCTACTCTATTCACACACACAACACTTTAAAACTTGCTAATCCTACAAAGCACTTAGCTCTTTAATTCCCATGAATAACCAGGGCAGAATTTCTCCTTACAATATCAGCACAATATTCATGTAGTTGATTCAATACTGAAATTCTCCAAACCAACATCATAAGAATTGCCTGACAGAAAGTGAGGAGAATTAAAACAGAAGGGGTTAAAACAATGTACAGGACACATGTTTGTCACATACAGTTTGAACCTGTCAGTAGTTTGTGGTTTTGCTTGCAAACAATTTCTGTGCAACTTGGTAGTAGATCATTGTGCATTGCAGTACAAAATCCAAAGGTCTGAGAAGTGATTTCCATTTTTCCCAGCCCCTTTCTTTGTGACTTATGAAAACATTAATTTGCTTTATTCAAAAATGAGCTCAATATTGACCATTTTTCATATTCTAATAACCCAATAATTGGACATTGCTGATTTAAGTGCCATACAGGATTTTAGTCAGGTGCCAAACCCAATTGATGGCTACTGAGTACTCTGTATAGCTTAGTGGTAGAGTATCAGGTAATTGTGAAGAACTTCTCCCTCAAAAAACCTGTCACAGCAGAAATGTTGTAGTTAAATTGTGTTATCAACTCATTTAAAAGTAATGAAATGTTTTTAGAGCCTGTTGGTTATCTGTCAGCCAACAGGTTTTTCTTCAGATGGCTGTTTTTCACATATACAGAGTATTCAGAGTTTGAAATCGGAAGGTCTGATGTTAAAATCCTCCCAAGAAACTCTGATTTTTTTTGTCTCATTGCTCTTGACTAGTAAATGATGTCTTTCTTTATTTAACAACCAAGCTTTTTCTTCATCAAGTTGCACACACAAATGCTTTTAACATTACTGATCCAATTTACTGATGTTACTTGTTCCTTGTCATTGACAGGGAAAACCATTCACTTCCATAGAACCACCCACAGACATAAATGATTTATGCTTATATCCTGACTCAGGTTAGAGTAGTTTTAAAATTACCTTTCACTTCTTAAATGATGCTCATCCTCTTTCTTATTAAAGAAAGAGGTGCCCCTAAAGAAAACTGATAGTGTTAGTTGATGATGACAATGATTATTTCATGATTTTGTGCTCTTAATCCATGGTCAACTAATTATTGGTTTTTTCTTTTATTTGTTTATTTTTCAAAGGTTTAGTTTTCATGGCAACTGAATCCCCCAAAATGCTTGTTTACTATATCCCAGTAAGTCATGATTTTCATAATTTTCTTTGTGTGTGGAAAAAATGTCAAGATGGTTGAACATGCAACTTGATTGTTCACTGTCATCATTCCAGGCCCTAGGCCCAGCTCCCAGGTGGTGCTCGTTCCTGGACAACTTGACTGAAGAGTTGGAAGAGGATCAGCAGCCAACAGGTGAGTGAACAGATCAGTTGATCAACCAGAAATAAAATCTTTCATGTAGCCGGAAAGCAAATAGTTTGGTTCATGGATTAAGTCTTAAGTCCACATGTAGCTTACCAAGATGCGCTTCATTGTTACCCAGGTGGAATAGCATCTGGCAATATTGAATTTTTTTTGTTCCACAAGTTACTTTTAAGTGTTACTCTTTAATTTGGTGTATTGTTTTAACTTTATAATCCTGTTGAAAATTAGCTTTGTCAGCTCTCCTTGTTTTTTCTACCTTTTGCTTGTTTGTTTTTGTTGCTTTTTTACAATGTACATAAAAGCTGTTCTTGAACAGTGTTGATGTGAGTGTTTCTATGATAAAAGTTCTGTTCAAGCGCTCCACTGAACAAATCTACTGCGGGCATAAATGTAACAAAGAACATTTCTGTCAAGTAGTTCCAACAAAGATGGCTCTCTTCTTGAATTTTCTTGTTTTTTTTTTTATTTTTTTTTTTATTTTTAGTGTATGATGATTACAAGTTTGTCACCAAGCAAGAATTGGAAAGTTTAGGTGAGAAGTCTGGCAACTTGATCAGTTTGTGATGAGGAGTTTTTAGTGGAGCTGGGACTGTATTATTGCTTACTGTTGCCAAGTATTAAAAAAATAGAAAAAGCCCTCTTCTTTACAAGCAGCCACACCTGTAGGGTAACAAACATTAAATGGCGGAAATATATATTATACTTCACTCTTTCGTCCCCCTGTTAATCAGCCATCGTCGCTTCATTTCAAACAGACTGAAATCTACAACTTCCTTGATCGTCTGGGTACAGTAATTCTCCCTTCCTAATTTGTTAACATGCATTTTCTTGCGAATAAGTCGCGAGAATTTGTTGTTTTTTTAGTTAGATATATTAAGGCCTCCTGATAATGAGGTGTCCGTTTAAAAGAGCGAGGTACAAACGGTTGTGGAAAAAACTTTGATTGTCGTTTATCCAACTATTTTTCATTATTTTCAGTTGATAATGCATTTTATAATGAGTTAGTTTCCTTGTTTTCCAGGTTTATCACATTTGATGGGAACGAATCTATTGCGTGCTTACATGCATGGGTACTTCATAGACATTCGACTTTATCACAAGGTAATCAACGTTTCTGGACTAACATCATTCGGCTGAATTGGCCGTTAAACTCGATCGCGAATACCATATGTCTGGGCTCTTTCCTGACAGTTGATCCAGTGCCATTGATGCGACGGATTAACTAGCGAACATGGACAAATTGTTAGTCAGAACTTTAATGACAAGGATATCATTCAAGACTGTAGGCTGGACTCTACATTCATAACTCATAACTCGGATATGCCCTGTACCGAAATAGATTTGAATTTCTCGTTTGTTCTCAAGCGACTGTGTGCGTTCTTTTTTTTCTCCTTTGTGTAGACTCTTAAACAAGTCTCTAACCCATGCTATTTGAAAGTTTGCAGGTGAAACTGCACCTGTGATCCCCCACTTTAAAGGTCGAGTACATCTGTAACCTCTCCACAATCTCGAAGCAGCCTCGTCCCAGTATTAAGCTGATTCTTCAAGTTGTACATGTCCTTTTTACCCAATGTGACACCAATCAAAAAAGCCCAGTTTAGCTTCAGTATTCTACCTCCATACATCTATATTAAATTTATATTAGTTATTTAAGGTTTTTGTTCTCCCAACTGAATTGCCTTTTCAGGCCAAATCTCTGGCAGAGCCGTTTGCATTTGAAGAATATCGTAGAAAACGAATCCAGGACAAGATCGAAGAAGAGCGCGCCAACAGAGTCAAGCTTAAGGTTTGTAGGTGGACAGATTTTGACTTTTTTCGCGTCTCCTTTTTCTGATAACTACTCCCTAAATACATTTCGCCAATTTCATGGGGAGAGAAGCGTAAAAGTATAATTTTGATTAACACGAAGCATCTTTCTATGCAGTCATATACTCACCCGCGTAAGGTCTTCTGTCTTACAGTAAGGGAAATATACAGTGCCGATGAGAAAAAAAGAAAGAGAGAGAAAAAATAAAGAGAGAAGAGAGAGGAAAGAAAAAAGAAAAAAGAAAAAAGAAACTGTAGTTAACATAACGGACATCCTTATGAAGGGAATATAGTTGGGACGAAAGAGAAAAATACCTTGAAGGAGCTACGTAATTATCTGCGGTGCCTGTAGAATTTGGTTATTAGAAACCAAGCTGAACCTTTTCCATCCTTAGATGTTAGCTTCTTCGTACCCTGTTGGATTGTTCTTCCTATTTTGGTGTTTGTTTGTTTTTTCTTGTTATATATTACCACTCTAATAGTTTTATATTTCCCTGAGGCTGGAAGGAATTCTGTATTTTTAGAAAAAAACCCTGTCTTAATTATTGCGACGTAGTACAAACAAGCAGTGTCAAGAGCAGTGTCACTTCTAAACTCCTCTGACCTGTAATGAGCAAAGGAAACGTACCCAAAACTCCCAACCCAAGAGCAACACATGAGCAATGGGAATTTATTGTGGCTAGTACCTTGTAGCAGTCATCAGTTAGCAGGCCCTTGAGTATAAATGAGTAACTCATAGTGTTCCGCTTGCAGAAACTACCGAAAGTCAACAGAAATTTGGCTGAGAAGTTGATGGACGAGAAAAAAGATAAGAGGAAAGAAGCAGTTGAAGTGAGTAGCCATTCGCTGTTGCGAAGCTTCGAATCTTATTCAGTCTTAACCATCCAAAATTCTGCTATTGTGCTCAGCTTTAAAGAACCAGCGAGCTATATCCGTGTATCGTCTTGGTTGCTTTCAGAATTCAGAAGTGAGTAATCCTCTGGGTGATGACAGGTTCTCAGCCATGTTCTCCAACCCAGACTTCCAAGTGGACGAGGAAAGCCAGGTAGGGTCTGAATCGATCTTATCTGTGATAAGAGGAGCAATTTACCATGAAGGGTCCGAAATAATCAGAATTGCTTTAATTTGCTTTACTTAGCAATGCGATTTGTGTAGAAAACACGCACCATCGTCTCTGTCAAAGATGCCAGACTAAAAACCAATATTCAAGGGCAAGAAAACGGATCAGGACAAGGACTAACTGGCCGCATAGTCACCTTTCTTTTTAATGTGAGACGATTTTCACGCATTTTTTGTCGAATTACACTGCAGGAATTTAAGCTTCTTCATCCAGTTGTGTCCAAACACGACCGAGAAAGACAGAAAAAACAGAGGGAAAAACAAGTGTTACTGGAACAATTTGATGAAGTTGAGGTAATAAAACGTCAACTTAATTATTTTTAGGCTTTTTTCTCTCCTTTTTGCCTTAATGTGTTTTGGTTTGTTAAATTTCATGCCAAGTGAGTGGTACAGGGCGTGAAATAAATTTTTTTTCTGATAGCCACTTGGCTCCTAAATTTTTCAAAGTGGTAGCCAATTCAAAAAAAGTTGGTCGCCATTTTCAAAGACAAACAAAATATTTCTTTACGCTGTCAGCGTTCTAGATAGACCCTCCAAAATTAAGTTAGGGAAAAGATCTTTAACGTGCTACAAAGTGGACAATAGGATGGATGATATACAACGTTAAAGCTCATCTAAAACCAAGATGGCGTCTAGTTATCGATCGAGATGCATGTGCTACGTTTTGGAAACAAACTTAACGAGGAAGTTTGCCGCGGATTTATCTTTGCAAATCTTTTTAGTTCACTATATCTCTTGGTAAGGTTATGATGATACGTTCTAGTCGCCAATTTGGCGACTAACTTTCAGGATTTGGTCGCCAAAGTAAAAAATTTAGTCGCATTGGCGCCTGTATTAGGCGCAATTTCACGCCCTGTGGTATCATTTTTTTTTCATGGGTAATAACAGATGGCGTTGCTAGTGAAGGGGTCAAAATAAAAGCTCAAGAAGAATGTGATTTCTTACAGATCGCTCGATAAGTGTAGCTGTATATGAAAGGCAGGAATTTTTTATTCTCTTAGGGCAACGGTCGCCGTCAGGGAATTTTGCTTCGATTCAAATTGTTAAGGTAATTGATTTCTCTTGCCTTGCAGGAGCCAGAAGGTCGGCCTAGTGAAGAGGAGGAATCTAGCAGCTCAGAGGACGAGCGTGAATGGCGAATGGAACTGAAAAAACAACAAAAAGAAGCTAAAATGAATGAAGAGAAACCTGTCGCAAACAAACCCAAGTTTTACGAGCTGAAATCTGGCGAAAATTTTAGGAGCATGAAGTCTGGCAAATCGGCATCGGCTCTGAAAGATAAGAAGTACGTATGTTTATTGGCTGAATCTTACAAAGGGGAAGAGGGGGCAGTGTTAGGATTGGATTCTAGTCAAAAAACGGGTCACACTTCTTCTCGAGTTTAGAGGAATCGTCAGTAGTGGAGCCTAAAGTCAAGAAAGGGGTGAAGGGGCGGGGTCGGGAAGGGAGGGTGGGAGGGTGTAATTAGTGGACGCTCTCCTTTGGTACCCTCTTGGGACAAGACCTCATATGTTGTGACCCTTCTATTCGGTGGAGTACAACTGTTCAAAAGTACTTTCGAGCGATGGTATCAGTAATCGTGCCTTACTTCAGAGAAGGGGGTGAATGAGCCGGAGGGTATCAATGTAGTTCTTGGACGATTCATTTCAACTTTGGCATAAGACTTCATCTGTTATAATGCTTTTATTCGGTGGAAAACAACTCTCACTTTCGACTTCTGGTTATTGCTTTCTGAAGTGATACATCAAGCAGGTGAAAATGATGATGAGCAATCCTTTCGACGGTTTTTGTTCGTAGTTAGCTACTGTGTACAGCCCATGGGTATACGAGATAAAAATTAAAAGGACCATGAAGTTAGTGTACACGTATTTTATCGTCAGGGTTTATGGGAGAGCTTTGGTTGCCCTGTGTCACTCTATGTGGTGGTTCTCGTCTTTAAGTCAGGAGAAAGATACCAACTTTCGTTTTAGATCACCAACATAGATACCCCAAGATGCAAGCATATAACGTGTTGTGTTGATTATGCTATAGAATATCGCTTGGAGAACGTCTCCTACATGAACAAAGTTCTGGTGTAATCAGATCAACTGGCTCGTCTTTGGGAGATAAAGAAATCACGTTCCAAGTTAAAAAGGTAAGTTAAGAATCGGTTTTTTTTGTCTCGTGCAAAAAAGGAGCTACAGTACGTTTCGTGAATCTCGAAAAATTTAGTCTAGGTTTTCGATTTCATCGTGACCTGTGTTATTTTCCTCCATCCCTGATCATTTTCTTTCCTTTCTGATCCATTAGAGTTTTTTTTTCTTCTCTGGTAAACCATCATTATGATGATATGTTTTTTTAATGGTACATCGTACGTTCTAAAGGTATCGTAACATCAAGAGGATCTGGATATTCTCCGTACTGTTCTCTTTACACTTGCTTAGGTTCTGACAAGGAGAATTTGTTTAACAATCGAGAGCTTCCCTTGTTGAAGATCATTTCCTTTATTCTTGTGACCTTAATATTTGATTCAGGGTTGATTTTTTAAGGAGAAATTAGATAGTGGTCACTCCTGATACGGCCACAAATAAAGGAATAGATGGGTAGATAAATTCGCTCAGTTCCCTAAGGGAAGCCGGTAAAAATCCTAACACACCAAGGATGCAAAGGTTTTGAACTCTTCAAAATTATTTTGTCGTTTCTTTAGAGTAACAAAGAGAAACAAAGAAATGAGGAGATTCGTGCTCATGTTAAGGAAAGGAAAAGGCTTCGCCGATCAGCAACTAGTGTCTTAGGGAAGGAAAAACGCGGGCCGGTGTTTTGGAGAGGAAGGAGAGTTAGATGACAAAACACAGCATGAAATCGAGGGAAACGGCATGAAAAAGGGGATTCCGTATGTAGATCTGAGATGAAGTAAGAACGTTTGTCCCGAATAGGACTGCAGGCAGTATACTGGTGACCAGAAACGAGAGTTTTCTCGAATGAAACGGGTTCAAGCCAGCCCAGTTCCAAGGCGTTTCCTTTAGCATGTAGTTTGGGAAGGAAAGTTAGGTGACGTCATAGTTTAATTTCGAGTCCAAATTCAACGCAGGTGCGAACGCTTAGCGACATCGCTGAACAATAAGGTGTCAGCGCTGGTTTTTATCCATAGCCTTATTGATACGATGGTATTATAAAGGACTGGCCTTAAATTCTACCTGTAGATTTCAAGGACTCTTTCTTGAGGAGTTTTTTGCGCTTTTGATTACAGATTTTTACAGCGATACATCAAATCTATCAAAGTTGTGTTCATCGTTTCTTTCTTGCTTATTCAAAAGTAGGTATTGTCTTGACGGAAAGAATTAAGCGAGGTTGGCAACAACTGGACGCTTATTTGATGAACTGATTTTAAAAAATTTTACTCCTTTGATTTTGATGTAACTTTTGTCATGGAGTGCAGGTCGCAAACATTTTGCATCGAGTTTTCCCACAAAGCTAAATCAGAGGATGGTGAAGACCCTGTGAAGCCCAAGTTGTGAAATATTTATGCATGTACCGCGGTAGCGAGTGTTTAAAAAACAAGGCCAGGTAATGCTGTGACATTACCGACTCTTTTTTTGTATTTGTCGATGAATTTCAATTTCTTGTTACAAGCAGCAAACCATATTTTATCTTTATTTGATCACGTGAACGATTACTTTATTTATTTTTCCTGATCAATGCACCTACGTTATTGAATTTAATGATTAAAAACTAGAATAATATAAAGGGAAATACTAAATTGATTCTCACAATGGAAACGACAAACTTCAGGGAAGTTAAAAAGCAATACAAGACTTTTAGGCGCATCATAAAAGCTGACCAGATTTTGAGGTGGATTCAAAGTTTTCGAGACAATTTTTCGTTAGGTACCATTCGTCAACCCTACTCTGTGTTCTTAGTTGGTACAATATCGCGACGCAGAATAGGTATCTTTGCAGACTGTAATGGGTTTCAGCTTATACACGTAAAACGATCCACAGTTTCGTACCTGTATGTAGGTATGATAGGCACAAGTACACGAAGGAGCAGTTCGGCCGAAACATACTTTCTTGGTTACTCTTCCATCTTCAGCTGACGGATGGCCGCCGACTAACCAACCTGCGCGTTCCGTATCACAGGAATGAAATTTTGCGCAGTTGGTGTTCATTTGTCTTCCCTCTAGAAATCGGTACCAGCTCTCAGTGAGATTATCGTCACACTTGTGGCTGGCGCCATTGTAACCCACTCGCCTGGTGTCGTCATCAATGATGGTGTGATGAAAACATTCCTGTCTATCGGTACCTAAAAAACGTTTGGGAAAGCAATTCAATTAAGAACATGAAACTCCTAGTTGGAGAGGATTTGAAAACACATAGATATCGAAAAGTTTTCTACGCCACAGGCAGCTTGACTAACCTCATGGCAGTTAACAATGGAAAAGGATGATGTGGGAGGTGAGGGGGGAGAAGTTCTAAAACGTGTGTACTGAACTGTGGGCTGATTTCCGTAACATACGTAGAATATATGCAAGTGGTGATGCGAAGTAACGAATTTCACAGTCGAGAGTTTATGGTATCTTTCATGAGTGAGAGCAGCGAAAGAGTGAGAGATGCTATTAGTTTCGTATTTCCAAACGACCTTGCTACGTTCTGTTTATTGAACAGAAATTGATGATCAGCTGCACTTAAGATTCTCCTGTGGAAAATTCTACTTGCGAAAGCAACGCATCTCTTTTAAAGAAATGTTTTGTTCTACCCAAAAAAGTGAATGCTGATAAAGAGAAGGTGCCTTTCCTTAACAATCAAGCATCGTGTGGACTAACTTGAATACCCAATACCCTGACGACTTTCAAATATTTGCATTTAGCAACGAAAGTATTGTCTTCGCGTGAAGGAAATGTTTAGTGGAAGCGGGAGAAATCGTCGTATTTCAACGACATTTACTCTTCTGAAACTAGCAAAATGTGTAACCTACACGAGGTATTTTCTCCGCTCCATTTACCGCTGGGTAAACATCGTCTCACCGCGGGCCCAGTCATGGTGTATCCCGGATGACAGAGGTACCTGACAAATTCTCCTGCCCAATTGTTGCTTTTCATGATCATTGCATTGGCTATATTTACCGGGTTGCCACAGTTGGGTAGAACTAAAAGAAAAGTGCGCTTAAATTAATTAAGATAATAAAAATAAAATAGGCGGGCTTGAAATTCCCAAGTTTCTAGAACAGGAAGGTCTGGAGTAAATTGAAGGAGATAGTCTTACATCGTGATCACCAACCTCATCCATTAATTAGCAGGATGTTCGGGCTATCGAGGATTGAAGTCAAAAAATTTTGACTTACACACTCTTGAATTCGTGTTTACTGTATCGTTATACACGTTACGAGCGACGCAGCTGTAGGTGCCCTGGTCCTCAGGCTGGAAGGCATTAATCACAAGCTCGCTTGTAAACTCGTCATTGGTGACGTTATTCATAACGTTGATGACGTTGAAGTCATTCTTGTACCACGTGACTGTAGGCAGAGGTGAACCTTTGGCAGAGCAGCTGATCCGCAGAGTTTCTCGAATTCCCGGTGCAGAGATTGAAGAAGAGGGTGTTTTGGAGAACTCAGGAGGAACTAGCAAATGAACACGATTTATAAAGTTGTTACTGAATCGTCCGAAGATATAAGTTTCACCAAACAAACTTTTTCTTTTAAAATAGATACATCATTTTTATACAAAAGCAAGAGAACCATTTAAAACGAGAAAAACCGATTAAAGCCCAACTGAAAATGAACTCAAAGTCTTAGCCACGAAACTTATTTTTAATCAATATTAAATAAAACATTTTAATTTTCACATGTCAAAAGCCATTTCTCGACTCTAGAGCTAGTTAGTTAATTGTAATTTTAGGGTTTAGGAGAAATTTTTGTCATAAAAGGAAGTCATTTTAATGTAGAAACAAGCGAAAATATTAAGTATTGATTATGATTCCTGTAATCAATGCCCTTGGTGAGTGTAAGTTTTAAGGTGATTCCTCAGTTTTGCCCTACGCATCCTGTGCTGCGCATAAAAATCACGTAATCAGGGGAATGAGCGCGCGCGCATTCCAAGAACTCAGTGTTGTTTTTCAATACATGGACCTGGTAAAGAGGTACGATGGTCTTCAGCTCTTAGACTGACATTAGAATTTCAAAAGCTTTTTGGCCGCCATTTCATCTCTAAGTTACCCAAAGATTTCTTCGTTCTTCTCTTAGTCTGTAAAGATCACATAACTCACCGACTGATTCGACTTTCAAAAAGGTGCCATGAATCACCATTCCATGTTCATTCCTCGCGGTACACAGGTACACCCCCTCGTCGCCACTTTTAATATTTTCAATAAACATACTTCTATTTGTTAATGAACTGCGACCCTGAGGGAGTGGGGCTGGGGGAGACCTGTTCCATTCAACCACAGGGGTGGGGAAGCCGACCACGTCACACAGAAGTTTTGTCGTTTTACCGAGAAAGCCGGTCACTTTTCCTGGGAGTGTGTTAGAGAATCTTGGAGGACCTAAAAGCAGAACACGAGACAGGGTTTTTCTTTGGGTTGTTATCAGAATTGAGAACGCTCTAACGCATAGAATGACAGTCACAGGCAAAGATGGGTGGGAGGACAGACGAGCAGATCGATTGACAGACAGGCAGACAGACGGTTAGACTGTGGGACTGACAGTCAGACAGACAAACTGGGAAACAGGCAGACATACAGACTTGGAGAAAAGAAGGCAGATAGACAGACAGACTCACAGGCAGAAAGACATAGACAGACAAACAGAAAGACGAGTAGAGAGACTCTGGATCATAGACTTGGAAGCTAGATACAGGCAGAAAAGATTGCTGTCATATGAGAAAGCTGACTAAAATTCCCAACTGATCAAAGGCAAGACAAACAGAACCAAAGATATTAAAAAAAAAAAATGTGCTCACCAAAGACGATAAGTTTCACACGTGCCACTTGAGTACCAAATACATTCTCTGCCAGACATTCTATCTTGCCTTGATCTAAAAATCTAACGTTCCTCATCTCAAGCTTCTCATTAGTAACTAGGATTCGTCCACCGTTACCTTGGATTTTACTCTGTAAAGAGCACGTGATCTTTGGGACTGGGTTACCGGAGGCAGAAATTCGAAGAGACAAGTTTTTTCCTTCTCTGACAGAAATGGAGGAGGGAATCTTGGAGGAGAACGAAGGAGCTGTTGGTCGATGAGAATAATAAACATCTACTTATAAATTTTATTTTTCAAAATCAGGTGAAAATATTTTTTATCATCACTGTGTAAATGGAAAGTGAAGATTCGTCTCTTGGCTACCTGATGTTGTTTCAGACTTCATGGGATCACCTTAACTCTGTGATAACCTAAAACACTGATAAACCTCATGTTGGAATTTTTGATAGCTTATGTTGATGAATCTAGCTGATGATCCTTTTTTTCTCCGCTGCTGATTAGTGATCTCTTGAATCATCTTAGCTGAGTGTCAAAGATATTGTCGAACTGGAAATTTTTTTTCAACAGCCCACCTATCTTCGGTTGGTCCAAATTAGTGCTGTTAAGTCCATTCGGAATTAAAAAGGTTCTGCATTAGATAAACTCACCAAATAATGTGACTTGAGATTCCATTCGTTTGGTCAATTCCTCAATGTATGCAACATTGATTTTGGGACTCATTCCAGGGGCTCCTCTGGGTCCTCTCGCACCGGGTGGCCCAAGTTTACCAGCTGGGCCTGGACGACCGCGACGACCGCGAGCCCCTTGTTTTCCTGGAGGGCCCTGAGCACCTATATTGTGGCCATTCATTTTGCAGACATAATAATGCTGTTAGCATCAGTAAAACCATCATTATTAACTGAATATTGCCGATATCAATGCAAGTACATCATCTAGGAATGATGGGAGTCGTTAACCCCCTGATGAGGATATTCAACATATAACATTGTAATAATTTAGTAAATGTGGGTAGACGATGGACCTTTGAGAAAAATGTTTTTTTTTTTTTTCACGAAGGCCATCAACAACTCTAATGGGATCAGTCCTTATTCATTACTCAAAGGGGTGGGGTAGGGGGTGTTCGGAGGATTTCCGGGGATCACATGGTTTCAAGGGGGAACGGAGGGTGGATCAGTAGTCGCCAACAGAATTTTAAGGGGGGACTGTAAAGGAGGGAACATAAAAATATTACAGAGTCTTTTGGGGAAATCAGGTATTCTCCTACACACAACCCACCCCTCCTCCTACACACAACCCACTCCCCCCCCTCCTCTTCCCCAAGCAATAAATAATGACCGGTTCCTGACAAAATCATGGTACACTGACCTTGCCTACTTTTTTTTCTGATAAGTTTTAACAAAAACAACAAACAAGAGGAAAAAGTGCAATTTCTGTAAAAACAACCACCACTGAGTAATTCGGTTTCTAATGACCCTACTCTGCAGGAAAGCTTCATCATCGACCCTTTCACTCCCAAGATCTCATTAGCAATTCTCCTCACTGTCTGCTATACGGTTCTTGTGATGTTTGGCGAATTTGGTACTGGATCAACTTATAACTCTTAATTGATATTTTTCTTTAATCTCGTCACTTGTCTGCTTGATATTGTATCAATAATGTAAGGAGAAATTCTGTCTTGGTCACCCATGAGAGTTAGAGGGTTAAGGGATGAAGACTGATATGATTGGCAAAGAAAGAGGGGTGGACTGTAAA